GCGGGCGTTGACGACAGACCTGGCCAGCAGGCTGGATGTATATCTGGCAACGTCTTCGAATAGCGGCGCATACTGCGGGGTTTGTTCTGTTCAGAGGAGGGATAAAGTCAACAAGCGGTGATTTGATGATTCTGTTCTTTCGAGTCTTGGGCGTCATCATCTGGAGCCATTGCGAGCGTTGATGTGGGGGTTGGAGGTGGGGAGAGGGATAGTGAATGGTTCTTGCAGTGACCGACAGTCTTCACGTACCGATCGCATCGTAAACACGTTTTTTAAGGGCAGGTTCGGCAGCAAAGGCATCATCAATAACGGAGCTCCTCGGTGGAGGAGCTGAAGACGGGGAGTTTATCGTGGCAAATGCCATGATGAGGAGGATGATCGATGAATCGATCAATGGATAATGGATAAATACAATGTAACAAGCTAGATGAGGATGATCCGGTAATGGATAATATATGATTTTAATCAGGGCAAGGAGGATATTGCACGAAGCGGGCAAACTGAGAATTTGCGACGCGCTTTCAATAGCAAGGTAGGTGGAGGTGGAGGTAAGTAGTTTTTGGTTAAGTAAGATGGAAGAAAGAAAAGGACTGCACTCCCACCTACCTGACTCCCTGGCGGCTTGGTCGATCGGGTGCGCGCACCAAATGCAATCGGAAAATAAGTCGACCTGCAATCAAGAGTACCTACTAGTCTCTGCTGGACGTCCTATTATTGGTGCAATGGCTGTCTCAGGGCATTATCACGTTGATGCAGTCAAGAGTTCTTTAGTTCAACTTCCTTCACGACTCTTGATTGTTAATGGTCTTAATACAAGTCATATTCTATGCTACAAACAGCAGTAATGTACACCCATCCTGGAACTCAGAAATAACGTCGCGAAAAGGGGGGGAAAGGGACCACCATGAAGCTGCAATTGCTCTCATCAGTGGCCAATGGCCAGTTTATTACCACCAGGTGCTTAGGCGTTCGTCGTGGCCGCCTGCTTCTTCTCCAAGAAAGCCTCGATGAATCCTCTTGTCATCTTATCCATCTTGTAATTCGGACGGGCTTTTTGCGGAGGTCTGTAGGTCTTTGGCGCGTTATTCGCCTGATGTAGGTGAGCCAAGGGGGTCCACAAAGTCTGACTTTGAAGATATTCCCGCTTGTAGTCTTCCATCAACTTCTTCTCCACCCACTCAGGATCGTGCCTGGTTCGGTATTTCGAGTAGGGGTTGCGAAGCTCATCGATGACCGATGCGGGGAAAGGTGCGAACTGAAGCGATGGCAGCCAAGTTGGCGTCTCAACTTCCATACGGAGGGTATCCCACTCTTCGTCCTTCGGCGCTGGGGGCTCGACCTTAGGCCAGGGGATCTCAATGTCTTCACCAGCAATATATCTGGTGTGTTTAGGGGTCTCGACTCCGTAGCCACGTTCGAGGATGGGCCCTCCGCCATAAACATGCTCCACCAGTACATCTCGCGTTTGGCCGGTAACTGGGTCATCGAGAGCGACCACAAGGCGAACATCGTCCAAGGACAAGGGAATGCTGACAGACTGGAAGGGGGATTTTTCCCCGTACTGGTCGGTCATCCACTCGGGAAAGTAGATATCGGCCTGTTTTGAGATTTGACAGCAGTCAGTCGAGTGAGACGATCCGAGATCGAGCAGGAACAAACAGTACCATGTTGAGGTCCTTCACCAACACCGTCTCGTTGCTGGCATCCACCTTCACGACCTCGTTGATCTTGCCCTTATCCTTGCCCTTCATCACACACACCCGATCTCCCGCCGCGATGTTAATGTATTTCCTCCGGAGATGCTTGGGGACGGTCGGAGGGTTCAGTGCTTGCGGCGTCAGGGCACCGAACTTGCTTCCCGAGAGAGCGGCATCACGCTGGGGGGCTAGAGGTCCACGCATCCAGTCTTCACGGCGTCGGAGCCTTTCCTCGCGGAGGTTGTCCAGCTCCATGCGCTTGTAGGCGAAACGCTGGCGGAGAGTGTCCTTGTATTCTTCGCGTTCGGCGACTTTGGCCGCCCGGATAGCCTTACGCGTGGCCTGGTTCCGGGCCTGCGCCGTTCTCTGAATGACTTTCTGCATGGTGATCTGTTTGCGATGCCAACAATGGCCGTCCTTTCCCACGGAATCGCGGCCAGATTGAATGTTGGGGAAGGGAAAATTGCGGCCCTGTTACAGTCACGTGCCTACCCGTGGACCACCACCAATCAGATTCGATACCTTCATTTCAGTCGGGACTGGTCTGGGCAGTCCGGACTACTACCTTACTACTGGTACCAGTAACTTAGGTACAGCATTAGTTGGTAGGTACTACTAAGTGCAGCTATACTCATGTGAGTGCCTCATGTAGAGCTACCACTTAATAAATAAAGATAAGTGGTTACATCAGAAATCGCCAACTCATAGACTGATCTTTCATAGATGTTTTCAAGCTATGGTGATTGGGGTCTTCGAAGTCAAGAAGCTACTAGTAGGCATGTCAATCATGTGTACTTCCGAGCTGATGGAGAGAGAGTGCCATACTATAGGTATCAATATTTAACCTCAAGATGGGAAGGTAGGTAGTTCAAGCACTATTTAGATGCGCGACTGGCGTGGGATAGACATTATACTACATCTGACCTCAAAGGGTTTTCACCTCAATCCAATATATGCCCACTTTCCAAATGTGAGTGGATCATGGTAGCAATGGCTCTGACCTGACATATTAGAGAGCCGACTGCAGATCCTACTAAGCTAACAACATAGAATCTCAGTTCAACTAAGCAATCCTCCCTAGCGACAGCATAGAGGAAGATTAGACAAAATCCAGTTCCTTAAGAGTAGTTGTCCCTCGACGGCCAAGTCATACAGTGTATACGAATAGCGTAATCGTCACAGGTCCAAGGCAGATAGATGTGAGGGAGGTCGAGGAAAGTACTATTGTCTCATTCGCCATTCATCTGACAGGTGATACCTACATAGTAACTACAAGCTCGCATGGCGTGTTATGGCTCGATCGTCAGGCTTGTCCGTGCAAACCACGCTTAAAAGTGGCAACCGTAGGAAGAAAAGGTCGACAACACATCAGACCCCCACAAATTGCGAGCTTTGCTTACCATAGAGGTTGTCAGATATAGGTCCGATCATCATCCCCAACAGTGATCTAGCCTCTTTTCTTCCCCAGCTACAGCTATGATCGATGTATAGAGTTCGCGGCGGTCGCCTCCGCCTCAACCAAACGTCAAGGTCTAAGCAGCTTCACCGAATGTTAGGTAGGCAGTCAATTCAGTAAGCACGGGGCGGTCCAATCAACAAGCACTCAGCTTAGAACTGGCACAGCATTAGCGCAACAGCCCTGGGATTCTGATTGGAAACGAGCCACTCGGTGACGATCTGAACAGAGAATACGATCACGGTGTGCATATGTACGATTGGTACTCCGTACAACGAGTACCTACTGCAAGGCTACTGCTGCCAGGTTATCTGTGGCTGAGGGTTGGCAAGGCTATACCCGGTTATTATAACCTCGTAGTCGACGCTTGTAATGTACTGTATGTTTGCATGGATTTGCAGTAAATAGTATTGTATGTACAGTTAGTATTCTCTCCACTTACGACGTCAACAATGCGGACTGAGTCGACCGCCATAACCATGGGAGGATGCCTGCAGTGCGTTGGTTCATACTGAAAGCTGCATAGGAATAAAGAGCACGTCACAAAAATGAGGATATGCTTCACGGGGTCGACCGCACTTACTAGGGTGGTTTTCCGGTCCCATCTGATGACGTTGACTAGGGAGGAGAGTACGTACTGTAGCAGCATGATAAGGGGGCATTGAAGATCACTTGCACCGCCACGTATTTCTGGCTCAGGAATCGGTCAATGGGAGCGGAAAGCGAATTTGCGGCCAGGGTATTCGATTTTCGGTAATTCATACTGAGCAGGCAAAGATGCATACACTCCCCCTGCCTCTCAGGTGAGAACACACACGTCATCTATAATTGTTGGACGGTTAGAATAAATTTGGTGATCGCTGCTGAAAGCCCACAGAGTCCCTTCTTGACAAAAAAGCTCATGCCAATCACCCTCCTGGTGCATCCTAGGGGTTGATTAGACTGGGCGTTATGCAGAAAAGGCTGTCTAGCTGTGCTCGAGCTTGGACACCAGCTATCTAGGGCAATCGGTGATTTCCGCTTGGAGTATGGAGCTACAGAGCCCGGCCAACAAGCATGGCCCATCATACAGCGCTGATGGATGAATGGAAGCCCGAGGACCCTACCCGCCAGTGTGCCGACTGGCGTCTAGGCCTCTCTGTAGATAGGACAGCGACGGTAACTAAAGATGGATATTGTGAAAGTTGCACCGAATGATGGAAGCTTTCTTGAAATCATCTCTCCCGGGTCTCGAACTACCTCTTAGTAACTATGCCCTGATCTAGAGACTTACTTCTCAATCTACATACATATAGCTTCCAAGAGACTCGAACAGGCGATTGATAGTTAGCGAAGATGACGACATGCAACTTAGTTAGTTATACTCGGGAGGGATGGATTCCTAGGTAAGATTAAGCCATAGAAAGAAAGGACCAGCTAATAAAAGCAGAAAATAGTCTTTATTGGCCCTGGATTGGTCGACAATAATAACTACTAGGTACCTGGTACTTACCGACTAAAAGTATAACTTACATAGTCCTGACCGACCACAGACAGGAATTTTACCAGTTTGATTGAGTTGAATCCGGTCTCATATCATACCATACCATACCGGAGTGTCAGTTGTAAGTTATTGGCTCCTGGCTCCCGTCTTCAGCCACGGTGGCTTTTAATGGGAATGAAGGCAGCAGCTTAGGCAGCTAAGTAAGCAGAAATGACCGGACAACATAACTACCTTAGTTAAACAAGTTTAGTGGACGCGAAAAAAAGGCGACTAGATCAAGGAAGGTCGGGGATCATGGAAAAGGAGTAAAGTATTTAGGAGGTAGCCTATCGACCATATTCTTCCATCAATTCTCAGGTAGTGTGGCTCTTCTCCGTAGACAGCCAGCCTCCCTAGTAGCAGTCAAAAACTCATCAGGAAAAATAACAAAAAAGGTATTGTTGACAAAAGAGGTTGCAGTCGTCGGAACGAATAATCAGAAGTTTGCAGTTGGTTACAATGTTAGTGATGATAAGAGAAGCAGGAGGAAGAAGATGATAACAATGAAGGAAAGGCAACAAACAGAGAAGGGGGGAAAGGGAAAGTATAAACAGTCTTGTCACAGCCACATTCATAGCATCTTAACCACTGGATGGGCGGAAGGATTGTTTCAGCTTGTTTTAGTATGGAATACTTAGATGGTTAGACGGGGGGGGAGGCCTCAGGGAATAGACCTGAAAGAGCCAGGAGGAATATACAGGAGATGAATAGGTAGAGTGCCAACCCGCCGATGGACGACCATAACTGGTCCATAACAAATGTAGCAAGAAGCAATAGACAGGCAGCAGCAGCAGTGGTGGTGGTGGTGGTGGTGATTGTAGGAGTATTCCAGGAGGAGTATAAGCAGGAGGAGCATTTGCTTACAGGCACTCACCACGACCACCACGACCACTACCACTACCACTACCACCACCACCAACCAGCAGCAACAGCACTCACTCACTGTCATTCATCCTCTTGACTATCAACCTATCCATTCTTTCTTCCGCTTCCCTCCTCTTTCTCTTCTTTCATCATCCCTCCAACGTGATAACCTCCCTTTTCTCAAGGGACTCTTCTACTGCCGTGATTCCTCTACTAAACTCATCTTCTGGGTTTATTTTTTCAATTCTAGACTCTTTTGTTTCCTCTACAGCCCTTCCCCCCACCCCCTTCTCTCCCTCCCATATTTTAATCCGCGCCCGTTGCGCCTACTCCCGTGCACCGTACGTGATAACCCTTTTCCTCGGGCGCCTGACTTGTCTGTCCCTTTCTCTCTCTCACTCACTCACTCACTCACTCACTCACTCACACACACTCTCTCTCGCTCTCTCTCTCTCTCTACCTACAACCTCCACCTCCCTCCACCTGCTACACTTCCCCCTTCCCCTCTCTCAAACCAAATTCCATCCATCAACTGCTTACCTCTCTTTCCCTTTCCTCTTCTCCACTACACATACCTTTTTCTTTCGTTGTCGCATATCGCTAAATCAACCTATTTTCTACTCTTCCGTTTGCTGATCTTCACCTCTCAATAAAGATGGCTGAGATTCGCCGCAAGCTTGTCATCGTTGGTGATGGTGCCTGTGGTAAGACTTGTCTGTTGATGTAAGTTCCTCATCTTTGGTCCCCCACCCCCCTACCCCCGTCCAAGGGGCCAAATGGCACATACTGACTCTACATCTCTTCTCCTTCTAGTGTCTTCTCCAAGGGCACTTTCCCCGAGGTTAGCCTCCGTCTCCTATCCTTGCCTGGGGTTTTACGCTGTTGTCTCCTGTCCTATCCACGCTCAATGCGAAATCACCATGCAACTGCTCATCCAGCCTTTCGTTCCTATCGGACTGACTGAAATCGCTGCCTTAGGTCTATGTCCCCACTGTCTTCGAGAACTATGTTGCCGATGTTGAGGTCGATGGCAAGCACGTTGAGCTTGCTCTTTGGGATACTGCTGGTCAGGAAGATTACGATCGTCTTCGCCCTCTCTCATACCCCGACTCTCACGTTATCCTGATTTGCTTTGCTGTCGACTCCCCTGACTCGTTGGACAACGTTCAGGAGAAGGTGAGCAGTTTCACCATTTTCGACCTTGAGAATGAAGCCTGCGCATGTCCAGGTTATCTTAGATCAACATGCTGATAAATCTGCAGTGGATCTCCGAGGTTCTGCACTTTTGCCAGGGTCTCCCTATCATTCTCGTCGGCTGCAAGATGGATCTCCGTCACGACCCCAAGACCATTGAAGAACTCCACAAGACCTCTCAGAAGCCGGTTACCCCTGAGCAGGTAAGTCCATTTGGCGCGCTAACCAGCTGACTTTGGATTGGTCGCTGACTTTTTCCCAGGGTGAGGAGGTTCGCAAGAAGATTGGTGCCTACAAGTACCTCGAGTGCTCTGCCCGTACCAACGAGGGCGTTCGTGAGGTCTTTGAGGCGGCTACCCGGGCTGCCCTCCTGACCAAGGCCCACAAGAGCAAGAAGAAGTGCACCATCCTGTAAACTAGTTGTTTCCTTCGCAAAAGGTCTGTTTCGTGCGGAGATTATATGAACGGATAAGCGTCTCGAATATTTGGTTTCTATCATTTTACTCCGAAGGGGTCCTCCGTTGGCGTGTTCCAATCTGTGCCTGGATGCGAGTGTGGATAATGTTCAATCACGGGCACACGAGCTTTATGGGATTATCTGGCTATGCAGTTGGTCGACTTTCTTATTTTGCAGACATTATTTTCTAGGGAGGCGTTGTCTTGTCTTCATAACCTTGTGGGTTTTCTTATCTTTTATCTTCCAGCTCCTCATAGGCGCCTCCGGGGCGGTTCGCGATCATCCACTATGACAAACTGGGCGCCGGGTTGCTGCCAGCAGAAAGAGGCCCTCGCTGCAGCGGGTTATGGAGGTTCAAAGCAGCGCAAGTCGATGCGCAGCCCTATCCTTTTCGCATGGACACTTTGCATTCGATCTCTGAGAAATGGTCTGATTATCGAGAAAATCCGCACATTTCCATGATGGGCCAGATGTTCGTCACACTTGCCTCGCCTATCAGATCTCCCCCAGCACAGTCTCATCATCATAATCAGATTTCCCCCACTTTGCTGTGTTCTAATCTGCTGTCCTTGTTTGTTTATTTTCGGTTAAAGAGAATGCATGGAATTGTCACTGAATTTGAACCCATCCCCCCCCATTTTCCCTTACTTGTTCCCCTGTCTTGTCAGTCACGCGATCTTAATAACTATACATGTGTCTTTCGCGGCGGATGCCAAGCCATAAGAAAGAGAATCTCGAAGCAGAATTCATCCTTATTTCATTGTCTTTTGATCACTGCAGTACTTATCTTTGCCATGCTCTCGGTTGCATGCGCCCAAGGTTTCCTTTCCATGCGAATTAGGCTTCAACAATATCTGTTGATTGCTAGGCCATGAATTCATTGGTCAAACGAATCCAATCCATGTCGCATCATCGTGACTCGTCGCATCATCGTGACTCAAATGATGAGCACATTTGGCTATCATCGTACCTTGCAGGGTAGTGACTATGCGACCCTGTCTCGGTAAGAGTAAGTTCATGAGTGATGTAGCACATATTGGGACTTTTCCTAATCCCTCCTGCCGAGTGGGGACATCTTAGTGGACCCTGCGGCTTGTATGTATCTCCTGAACAAAGGTCAATGGGCGGATGACGGGGTGGAGGGGAGGGATGCTGATCGTGACATTGGTACGGGGTCCGTCGATAAGATGGTCTTGGGAATCGCAGCTGTGGCCAAGCTTAGTTCATGTGCTGAGTTACCGAGGAGCATTTCTGCCTGAAGCTATTTATGAAATTTTAGTTGCCTGTCTGGTGCTGTGGTGATGGTTCTCTAAATAGATAGAGACCACCAAGGTTGGAGGCCCGCGGCGTGAGAGACGACTTATTTAGCTTATTTAGCACATTTTTGTGGAGATGTGTACGTAGTGGATTTGCTGGAGGTAGGCCTACGTAAGAGCAAACCCCCTCCCCCCCTCCCCTCGGTGTTCATGGCCAGATCTACCTATTCAAACTTAATAGATTTCCAATATACCGTCTGGCATCGAGGCCCAGTCCCTCGACGAGTTTCGCTGGCCCTGTATCGGTCCTTGCCGCCTGCAGACTTGGTGATGAGGCGCCTCCGAGATCCCGAAAGAATCTGGAGCCGCTACCGCTGCGGACATGTCCTGATGAAGAAACATGATCGCTTGATCGCCGAATAAGGAAAGCCTCCTGCTGCGTGGCACCTCCGCCAGCTCCACCATCACCACCAGTGTTAGTACTACCGATGTTGGTTTCGGCCGGTGTGCTCGTGCTCGTCCCGGTAACAGAGGCATCTTCTTGTCCCGGTGGAGATAGGGGACTACTGTCAGACATCCGCATCCAAACAATCCACCAGTCGCGACTGGTCTTGCAGGTTCTTTCGACCTCCAGGGGCCGAGAGCGCGTTTCCGTGTATGTGCTTAGAAGTCGGTGGTGGATGTTGAGGCTCTCAACCCGCGTCCAGGGCGGGAGCATCGTGCGATAAGGTTCGGTGGTGCTCGGAGCTCCCAATTCCGGGATGTTGGGGATGGAGGAGCGGATGGTTAAGTTGGTAGGATCGTACACGAGATTGTATACCGGTTGGCTTGGGGTTGTGAATCGGTTGTTCACCTCGAACGCGCTGTCGGATACGGCGATTCGCTTCGCGGCAGTAGCTGGGGACGTGGAGTTGCACAGCGGTTTGTGGAGGATGCTCATTTGGCTGCGAAGGTCGTGGTAGAAGGATGGCTGGGATAGAGAGGGGGTTGAAGGATCGTAGAGGAACGTGTATATGAATGGTTGGTGCTACAGAATTGTCAGTGTACCAAGCGGGGAGGTATGAGTATAATGCACGACATACTACGAAGACAATTGTTCGCAACTTCACCGAGCCTAGTATGCCTGTAATCAGCCACCGGGTAATTCCGCTTTGCTCGCAGAACAAAATTGCTTACCAGTTGGAGTTTCGTCTAGAGGAACAGCCTCTTCGAAGGGGACTGTCAGTCGGACGTGCAATGTTCTTTGGTCAATTACATGACTCGAATCCGCAGTAAGCGTGTTCAATGGTTCATTGTCTCCCTGAAGTCTGTCCGTGGTGTTGGTGCTTGATGTATTGTGGAACCCAATGAGGAATCGACCAGGGTTCTTCGGCTTATTCTGATCCTCGATATCGGCAGTATCCCCCTTAGTTGATTCTTCGGAGTTGGTAGAAGGTTTCACTTGGTGATTCGGGCTTGTGGAGTCGTCCTCTCGCCTCAATGCTTCGATGGGAGGATGCGGGCTCCCTGTCCTAGATGATGGGCCCCAGGATGAGCCATACCCGAGAGTGAGATATTTCATTAGTGTGTCCGAGCCGGGCATCGTCCAGTCATTTGCCCGGTCACTCCGCACTGACGAGCTCCCACTGCTGCTGGTGATAGAGCTTGTTTTCGCACCGGACTCTGCTGGCGGCTGTGAAACGTCTGAAGTCCCTACCACGAGCGGACGAGGTATGCCGGGAGAAAAGGAACGATCTAAAGTTGCATGATCAACAGGTTTGACAACAGATCCAGCTTGACGGTCAGTCTCGTTCCCAACCGGAAGCCTTCCCCGATGCTTCTTTCGTCTTTTCCGCCGGCGAGGGCAAGCCGGGTCTTCGCTCACTGCATACGCGTCAACGCCATATCTATAAATCCATTCCACCCACTGAGAGACTCTCACGACTGAGGGTCTTGAGAGAGCGCCAACCCCAGAGAATATGACTCCATCCGAAGGTTTGGGGGAAACGTCCGCACCAAGCCAGGATTCTGCATTATCACTCTTGCTCTTGAAGGTTGACCCTCTGTTTTCCGAGACAGACTCCTTCGATGATGTAGAAGAGTCTCCAAATCGCGAGACGATCATATCTACGAGTCCATCCGTCCTAGAAACAAAGTCCTCCAAGACCTCTCTCTCCCCGCTGCCCCATTCTTCCTCGCCAACGCCAACCCCAAGCTCACCTCCAGCAGAGAGCTTGATACCATCATACATATCGACCACTGGACTCCCACTTAGAAGCATTTCCCAGCTCCAGGCGAATCGCCACCAGAAGCTGTCGAGGAGCGTACAGAATTTGGACCTGCCAACATGATCGTAGAGGGCGTCGAGCGTAAACTGGTGGTGTAAAAGAAAGATGGAGTGTGCCTGGCGCATTTGTTGTATCAAGAGCTGTGGGGGACACATCTCCCTTGAAGAATATGTGAATTTAGGTGTGGCTGAACCATCGTTTTGGGAGATAGTAGCCGGATCAATTGGCAGTCGGGTCAGCTCAACAGACTAGAGAGATCTCAGCAGCTATCTATGACATATGGCGACACAGGCCACCCACTGCTAAGATCCACCAATCCTGCTCAAGCTCGTGCAAGATAACCTGCGACTTCTCTGTTTCCACATACTCTACGGCCTTGCCCTCTGAGAAGTTCCTGGTATTCCAGATCAGCCCGTGAACCTATCACTAACCCTCGACAGCGGTTTCACCCACCTGGCAAAGCCTACTATTCCCTGGGCCAATCCTATCTGTCGCAACTTATCGTTCAGATCGCCATTAGGTTCGCTATTGACACCCTCTTCAGAGACTGGGCTATCGCGCTGCGCTGAACGATCTGACCTAGATGTATAGAAAACGATTTGATCCTGTATTGTTTCGTCTGTCGGTCCGAGGCGGGGGTTGTAGATGGTGAGGAAGGAGAGTTGCGCAGGAATTACCGATGCAGAGGCATTATCAGGCATTGCGCCATCGACATGTGAGCTCTGTATCACTGAGTACTGAGCAGCAGCGTCGTTGCGGAGCAAGAGATAATCATGGATTGTTTGTTGCTGGTTGATCTCGCTCCTTGGGGGGAGTAGGAAGGCGGTGACATCACGTGGCGGCGTTCGGCGATTCTCCCGAAGCTACAGCAACGAGATAGTGTGTAAATATTACACAGTAGATTGTTCAGGCACCATACCATTGCAGTGGGGAGCTTCAAATGCGATGCTGCTTTTCCGGGGCCCAGGGATCCTCTGCGGATTCAGACCCACCCTCTATGCTTTACCTTCTGCGAATCGATACTTGGCGACCAAAGCCTACGACCCTCTCCGCATACTCTTCTGCGGCTCCGATGAATTCAGTATTGCTTCCTTGAAAGCGCTCCATGCAGAACATCTCTCTCGACCGGACCGGATCGCGTCCATTGATGTCGTTTGTAGACCCGGTAAAAGGGTCGGGCGAGGATTGAAGAAGATACAGGAAGGTATGTTTGCGCATGAGAAACAATTTGGGATACTCCCGGCTGACATGCTTGTGGATCGCAACAGTCCCTATCAAAGCAGCCGCAACAGACTTATCGCTTCCTATCCATGAAATTGACACTTTCCGGGGCTGGACGGTAATCTTCAAAACTCTTAATAGCTACGGAGCATGTCTGCTAACCCTCTTAGCCTCCTGTCCTGCCGGAAGGGCCCATCAATTTGATCGTCGCTGTCTCGTTCGGGCTATTTGTGCCTCCCCGAATTATCAATGGTGCTAAATATGGGGGTCTCAATGTGCACCCCTCTTTACTCCCCGAGTACACATCTCCGAAGATCGTAATCAGTAAATCCAGCCTTGCTAACGAGAACGTCCAGCTTCCGCGGTCCCGCACCGCTACACCACACACTCCTGAACAATAAAACCAGAACTGGCGTCACATTGCAAACTCTACATCTGAAGCACTTCGACCACGGTACTATTCTAGCGCAGACGCCGCTCCCAGGATTTGACATACCGAACCCAGATTCCTGCACGGTCCAGGAACTGCTAGATGTAGTTGCCCCCAAGGGCGCGGAAATTCTCGTTGAAGGCATCCAAAAGGGACTTTTCGTCCCCCCTTTGCAAGATGTAGGCTGGCGCCCGTCAGCGGACGATGGTACTTTGATTCATGCTGCAAAGATCATGCCAGAAGACCGACATATCGACTGGACCAAGTGGACCTTGCATGATATCCAGAGAAGACATCATGTGCTGGGTCCGCTTTGGAGCAAATCCCTAGTTGCCAGCGGCACATATGGTGGGAAGCCCAACTTCCAACATCTTCGCGTCATATTCTCTGAGTTTGAAGAAGTAGCTTTACTAAAAGGCTGCGATCAATTCTCGGTCGTACCCGGCCTACCGTTCATAGACGGCGCCCTTCCAATCAAATTGGATGAAGGAAACGGCGTTTATGTGTTCACTCGGGACCACAAGCTCGTCAGGATTAATCAAATGAAGGTCGAAGGTGGGTTGACTACAGACGCTCTCCGAGCCGCTCGCAAGGCTCGTATGATTGGCGAACGAACGTTCTACTCGGGCGACATCGGATATACACCATTCTACAATCCTCTACATTGAACGCAATGAGATGAAAACAAAATGCCTATCGTTTCATTGACGTCGCGATACCATCGCTAAATACCCTTCATACCAGCCAATCCAGGCCTTCGTACGCCGAGCATTGCAGATAATCCTCCTCCACGTTTTCACACTACAAGTCGCAAATCCGGCAACTGTAGAATCAGTCCTAAAGGAAATACCATCGACCGGAGCACTTATTGACCTGAATTGCTTGGCCGGTCACAGACATGCCTTGTGCGAACATGACATATGGATTGGCAGTGTCGTCCAGGTCATTCTAGCAGCAGTTTTGATGAGCAGCAGGGATGCATGGTACATGGAAAACTGTACCGTTCTTCTCAGCGCGTCTTTCTCCTTATATCCATCAATATTTTGGCCGCACACTGCACATACCTTTGGCTGATGACCGCTTTTGTATTGCGAGTTACTGCTCTCGAACCATTGTCACGAGCCCTTCAGCTGCGTCTCTGCTCAGGAAAAATTAATAGCAACGTTGCAGCCCTCCGCGGCACACTTTTAGGTTACAAGAGCGCCTGTGCCCCTAATCTCTGTTTGAGAGTTACTGTAAAAGAAGTGCCACTTCTTGGAAAACACATACCTGGACCCGGCAGTAATATCGGGTCTTTGCGACTGTGCAGGGAATGTATGATGTTCTGGTGGGATTGTAGTGGGTATACGGAATATGTAACATTACAACACGAGGTAAGATTTGGAGTGAGAATTTGAGCTCGACAAGAGAATAGCAAGCTGAATAGCATAGCCAACCGTGTGGAGGAGTTTCCGCCCAAGTGTCAAACTTGCGTGAGAAAAATATAGTGCCATACGATCTACCTAACTCCGCTGAAGGGCTCTCAGTTCGCACCGCTCACATTCCGATCTTCAGAACCATCGATACCAGGTGCATATGGTTAATCCATCTATGGTCTAGTACTGTAGTAGTTGGCCCTTGGTCGATCTCGGTCGATAATATGTGTTGCCTGTCAATCCACCAGCGTGCCGGCATATTCAGTCTGCCGCATGCCTTTCCACGCTCTCTTGCCCGCTAGATCTGGCCACTGAACGAGGAAGCGATCCGCAAAAGGCAGCAGGAGTTTACCTGACAGGCTTAGAGTGGTGACTCGGGCCCATGATTCTACGAAGATTGTGCGAAGTCGGAAATCATTCGACATGGTGGCTGACCTAGATCCAAGCAAAAACATAGTACTAAGGGCGTGCCATAGCCGGAGCAGCCTAGCCGCCAGAATGATGCAGACTGCTGTGGCCGGCCCATTGGTGAGGATGATGTCTGGATGGGGTGAGTGCATCGACTCCGAACGAAGTGGTCCCTGGTCTGGATGTAAGCCGCGTAGCACCAGAAGACAAGACCAGAAGGAACTGAGAGTGGAGAAGGGTGCAGTCAGGTAGGATTGGTGTACGCGACGGGCGCGCGGAACTATGACGATAGAGTATGATCCCGTTGTTGGAGGGGGCCGCTCGGATACCGCAGGGTCCTCAATCTGGTTTAAATATGTTGTTTCGAAGTCGACGGCCTTCTTCGCGCTGAAGTTGTCGCCGGAGCTCACGACGTAGGTTCGGTAGGTGTACTTGGTTGGATCGAGTTCCATGCGCCGGAGCATGGAGAACATTTCCGCCGTGTGTCCGCCACTTCCCAGGACCACCAAGAGATGAATCGGTCTATTTTTCGGGCGCCACTTTGGCACTTTGGTGTTGTGCGACTGGATCAAGGCGTAGAGAAGGAGCTATAAGAGTCGACCTCGAGTTAGTCATCGGCTATGGTAAGGACGGCGAGGTGCAGCATGGCACTGACGAGGGCTGCAAATATACAGAGTGTACCTGTCAGGGCTAAGACCCAGAGCAGCATTGCCCAATTTAGAGCCGAAGACATTATGCGAATTGATGATCGGTGATTGAATTGAGCGAAGGGAAATAACAGGCTGGCTTTCTAGTTTGCTGCGGACGGTGCGCGGGGATGCGATTCGGAGGTGTGATCGCGAACAAGGAACCTCAAGAATCCTCCGAAGCTATGTTGTGCACACCTCAGAAGCTTATCAGATCCCACCTTGCTTGCATTTTGTAGCCCAGAGAGCAATGGCGACAAGGAGAGCAGGTGAGGTATTCATGATTGTTACCAGTTTGGCGGCGGCCTCGAAACGACCTAAACAAGCACGTGGTCCGTGCCGCGGTCGGCGATTATTTTGCTGCTGTTGTCTTAACTCCTTCTCTCTCGTCCCCTTCGCCCCATTATCATTTCCCTCTATCATCACCACGACTACCGTTGTCATCCACCCTTTCTAAACATATCTCCCCCGCCATCAATGTTCACCTGCTTGACAGGAGATGGCTCCTTTCTTCGCAAAGCGATTGAAGTGTTTTTACTGTGGGTGTCGCTCACCCCAGGCTGACAGAGAGCCCATTCGCAAATGGCGTTGCCAACATTGCGAGGCCATCAATCATTTGGATGAAGTAGGTCACTTGTAGCTTCACGGTGTGCTCATATGCCATCACAGCAGAGCTTAACATAGCTAACTCCCTTCAGAACGGGGAAATCACCGATCCCCCTGCTACTGAAACGAATCCCGCTGTACACAGCCCTCACGCATCAACTCCGCCCTTCGAGTCCAATGACTTCACAGGCTCCAGTTTATTCTGCGACAAATGCCTCCGCAACCAACACCTCTTCACTAACAACTTGGCATCCTACTTCCCGCCTTCCGATGACCCGAGTTTCGGCGCATACGAACGCGAGTATCCTAAATTTCGCAAAAACCTAGAGGAGCGGTATCCCCAGGTTTGCGCCACTTGCGAGCCTCGAGTGAAACAGCGCATTCGTCAAACCGGATACGAGGCCAAAGCGGATCATTTGAGACGGATGATGGAGCGAAGTAAGGCTGGGAGGATGGCAAGAAAGGCACGTCGGTGGAACTGGAGAAGCCTTCTTGTCTGGGCCGGCGCCATGGGTTACTGGGCTAGTGTTGCCGGTCAACTTAGCTGGAATATCTGGAGTGCGTTAGCCGTGGAGGAAATCGAACCACTGCAAGACCCCGATGCATTATCTAACTCTCCTCATTTGGTCGAGTGCGCACGCGAGATAGTGCAGACCCGTCGGATACCGAGCAGTTGCGCGATGGATCTAGCACCTTATGCCGGGCTAGCTCTCATTGTCGGCATTCTGTCTTTGTGGTGGAACCCCAAGCTACGCTTGAAAGTAGAAGGAAGGGGCGGACGCTTTGTTGGCCTGAGCGAGTACTATCAGGTACAGCTCATTGTCATGGTGGTGCGATGCGTCTTCTGGGCGGTTCTCCGAGAACCCTCTTCGAGCGGACTGGAGGCTAATATTCCCCCGACTTTACACTTGTTCATGCTCTTCTTCACGACATTGGTACGTAACCTAGAGAACCTAGTGTTGACCTCGCTAATGAAGGACATCTACCTCTAGTCTGTTGCCATCTCTAGGCGCATTGTGCGCTATGACACCCGTCCGCTGGTCGTCTGGAATGATGACACCCCCGCAGCCACTCCGAGTCGGAATACTGAAGCGACTCCAGTACCTAATTTTGGTAACACTGGAAACAGTCGCCGGCTGTTTACAAGTCCTACTGGAGATCTCCGGCAGCGACCTTCTCGTTTCCCTTTGGACAAGCTTGCTTCTCCACGGACAGCTCCTGAGGAACCAAGCATCCCAACCCCGCCTCCGGAGGCTGACGATATGGACTGGACTCCTTCCCTTGTCCAGCGCGAACTTGAACCCACAATTAGTGTCCGTCGGCGAGACAAGACCTCTGGGCTCAATGGCGAGCTGCCGTCTTTTGGCCTCCTGCCCGCTGCGCCTAAGCCACCCGCCTGGAATTTGCGTAGCAAACCCCAATACCCAAATCCCATTAACCCCATTAACCCCACTCAACAAGTGGAACGAAATCCGTTCCAGCGCACACCTGCACAACCGCAACAATGGCAACGGAATACCAGTGATGCCGGCGCGGCGTTTGTACCGCCAAAGTTCTTTCCTACGAGCGATCATACCGCGACAACTGGACTCGAGAGTTTGTTCGATCGGACCTTCACCATCAAGTCTCCTGAAGATGGAGAAGACAACTACTGGCAAGCACACCAAAACTCGAATGATTACACCCACCACCCTGTGAATCTCTGGAGTTATTTTGTCTACCAGTACCTTCGGTTAGGACTTCTTATTGTTTCTCTTGCTGCTTGGACTTTTTCGGAATATGGTCTACTCTCGCTTCCGGGCAATTATGTTGAGATCGCATCGTTAGGCAGTGCCAGTCTTATCGCCGGGTTCGCCCTTCTAGAGGCTATGAAACGTCCTATCGTGCAGTGGAATGGCATGGAGATCCTCACCTGCTTTTCCGAGCTGGTTGCTGCTGTTAATCTTGGGGGATACCTTCCCCGGATTGGGGTTGCCTACCAGCGGCAATCTTTTGACACATACGGGAAGTTGTTATTGGTTTTCATGACCGCCCAAGAGGCACTGAATTTGCTGTCACTGTATCGCCTCGCTGCAGTCCATGGGTCTGGTACCCAGCAGCAGCAGCAGCAGCAGCAACAACAACAACAACAACAACAACAACAACAACAACAACAACAACAACAACAACGCCGCATCGCGTCTCCGGATGGCCGTGCAACTGGACATCAGTCCCCATCGGCATTTAATCACCAGAGCCAGGTCCAGTCGTTCGACAGTCAGCCATCCATGCCACCCCTGTCCTTTTCATCTACTCTTCCTACCTCGAGCTTCACGACGCAGTCACCCGCCACGCCCACCCAATTCGCACCTTCGCCATACGACGGAGGATTCTCCAAAAATCACAGTTTCACTCTGAACAGTCTGAAAGACAACGAGTCCGACGTGTCGGACGCGTTTGACCGTGACTCGGACACTGAAACCACTGTAACAACAGCCACATCTGCCACCAACAACACAATTCGAAACATTCGCTATGGACGGAACAACGATTATAACAGTGACTCGATGTTCTCGCCCCGACGATCAGAGCTGGGCCCAGGGATCGGGGGTCTGAGTTTGGAGGACGAGCCCGGTCGCCGCATCACCCGCAGTCAATCGAAGCTCAAGGATCGTTTCGCAGCGGCGCGAGGAATACGGTGATATCAATCCTCGATCTTTGGGCGTTGGTCAGCCTCATTGGACCAGCTGTCTCATTTCAAGCGTTTGCACTTTTGGAGTTGGTTAGCTACCTCTTTCCCTTGCTAAATCTACCTTATACCAGTCTTTGTGAGCCCACGCGAACTATTACGGCCGGTGAGAAAGCTTGCCTGTTCTGAGTACAATCCGTTTGTTTCACTGTACTTGGGGCTGTTTGAAGATGTGTTTTGTACATAGCAAGTAGAATGAACGATTTATGAATGATGGCACGACCGATTTCTCACTTTGTCAGAGTGGGTTATAATCAGACAATTCCTCCGTGTTGTCCTAAAGCACAATGTATCACTATTCCTTTGAACTTGAACCTAGTCTTATGCTGAACCTAATTTAGAAAGCACCTCGAATGTATCCATTAAACCACAACGCCTCTTTCATGCAATCGCTAATATACCTTTGCTTTATCGTCTATCTTCTATGCATCGTTGTATCAGAAATGAAATAACCTGCATCTAGACCCACCCCAGTTTATGCGTGACAAACCTCGAGAGTTCCTGAATCGTACGAGGTTCCTCTTCGGTACCCAGATGAGTTGAGAGAATCTGTATCCATTGAGCTGGCTGAATTCCGTGGAGTTTGCGGTCCTTCAGGGCCTCTTGTAAGCGGGCTGCCTGTTCTGCAGCTATAGAGGTGTCCGAGGAGGTAGAGATGTGGCTTTCGACGATGGCGCCATGTTTGAGACGAAGAAAAACGCGAGTCTGGATAGTTTGAAGGTCAGCCAAGCTTATTGTTGACAGCCCAGCCGTACATAGGCGAGGCAGGCGCCGGAAGGGGAACTCACAGACGGCGGCAAGGAGGCCGGCAGAGGAGGCCGGTCGCGCGGGTCCTCCCCTTCTATCGGATGGGTCGAGAAGATGAACCGGGGTGTCTGGCAGTATTTCCACTCGAGGGACTGGATATCTCATTAGCATGCGACACCCGAATTTCAAGAGCAAGAAAATGAACAACGCAACTCACCTTCATTTCTTCGATCCCCTTCACGATCTCCGCCTCTCCATACCCTTGCTCCTCCCCAACAGTCCCAGCCACCCAGTCCTCTCCGGCATACAATTCCGAATCTTCTACAATGTGGGCCCTCTGCGCCCGGCGCACAGCATCCGAGCATGTTCCATAGAGTCTCGCAAATTCATCCATCACTCCCGCAATGACATCCTGGATCTCGAACGAGACCGGTGCATTCCTGAAGGCCGACGACACATTCGCCACGGGCGACCGCACACTATCCACCCCCTTTGACATCATATACTCCCGCGCCGGCGAGCGCAGGAACGAGCCCAGCCGGTCGATGTTGGGAGAATCGAGCAAGCAGGTGCCGTGGTGAAGCGCGCGCTCGCGGGTGAGTTTGAAGGCGGACCCGGAGATCTTGCGCGGTTGCAGATCAGGCTGCTCCGCTTGCCGCCCGGAGTTCTCGAGTTGCATGACGATGTCGTGGCGGTCGTTGACGCTGGTGGTGGTCGCGCCGATGCGGTGAAGTGCCCGCACCAGCATCTCGGCGTGCTTGTTGCGGGTGAACGTCGCGCGCGGCGAAATCACGCTGTAGTTGAGGTTGCCTTCGTCGTGGAAGACAGCGCCTCCGCCGGAGCGGCGGCGGACGTAGAGGGGAGCCGTGGCATTTTCAATCTGGTTGGGTAAAGGCGGGCTGCTGGTGGCGGCGGCGGTCCGGTCGTTGTGTAGCACGCGAAGGTTGGTTTCAAGCCATGGGTTCTGGTTGCGACCGATCACGACACAGGGGCGATTGATATATAGAAATAGGATGTTCGAGTCGGCGGGCGCATGCTGGAGGAGGAAATGTTCGATAGAGAGGTTGACGTAGGGGTCGTTGGATAGCGATTGGTATATTTGGTGTCTGGAAGCTGGTCGGCTGGCGAGCTGCGCGAAGCGATCACCTGTGAAGGAGGAATTCCACCGGATTGGTACGGGTGACGTCGTATGTTGCCATTGGGAGGATGCGAGTGACGAGGGCCGGAATGAGGAGGTGCGCAAAAGGTTGCGCATCGGGCGAGATGCAGGAGGTGAGCACCACATGAGATTTATTTTATGTCGATCGATAAGGAAGACGGTGATGATGATTGATTGCTGGTGATGATCATTGGAGTTCCATGGACCGGGAAATGCAAGGCGGTGAGAGTGTATCGTACCTGTTACTTACGGTCCGGGCGGTATGAGTCTTGTATCGAGCTTTGGACGAATGGAAAAGGCGATAGTCATGCTCTCCCGCGGGCTGCATCGAGTAAAGAAGCGGCCGATCTCCGGGGGCTATACCCGATGAAGCAAAAGGGCGGCAGAAAACCAAGGCGGGAAGCCATAGTAGAGGAAATGCCCCTCCAAAGGCTAAAGGCGATCTCGCGATCGGCCGGCCTTGAATCAGTCATTCATTCTTCTTTTGTCTGTCTGCTTTCTCCCTCTTATCCACTCACTCTTCCATTCCGCTCCACCGGCCACCCACCTTGTTCCAATCTTCTTTTCTTCCACTCCGGTCTCACCTTCTTATCTTCCTTTTCCCTAGAGGCTGTCAATCCTTCTATCCGTGACCTCTTCCTCTTTCTTTCTGCCCTTCCTCGGATTGAGCCTCTCAACTTGCGAAAAATCTCGACGCCGACATCGCATCACATCACATCAGCCCACCATGTCGACCTGGGGTGAATACTTCCGCGTCACCACGTAGGTCTTCTTCCTCTCAATTGCGTCGCGTCATCTGTGTCCTTCGACACCGGCGTAGCAACTTACGGTTAAACTAATGGTTTTCTCCCCGCAGTTACGGTGAATCGCACTGCCGCTCTGTCGGCTGCATTGTCGATGGCTGCCCACCCGGAATGGAGCTCACTGAGGATGATATTCAGCCGCAGATGACTCGGAGACGCCCCGGCCAGAGTGCCTTGACCACCCCTCGGAACGAGAAGGACCGCGTCGAGATCCAGTCAGGAACAGAATTCGGTGTCACTCTGGGCACTCCGATTGGCATGATGGTGCGCAACGAGGATCAGAGACCCAAGGATTACGGCGGTAGCACAATGGACCTGTACCCCCGCCCCAGCCATGCCGACTTCACCTACCTCGAAAAATATGGCGTCAAGGCCAGCAGTGGTGGTGGCCGCAGCAGTGCCCGCGAGACGATCGGTGGGTGCAACCCTCAGACCTGCCGCTGAAATGGATGAAACATACTAAGAATATGATCAGGCCGAGTCGCTGCCGGAGCCATTGCCGAAAAGTACCTTCGCCTATCGCACGGTGTTGAGATCGTCGCCTTTGTCTCCTCCGTCGGCAACGAACACCTGTTCCCCCCTACTCCCGAGCACCCCACCGCCTCCACCCAGCCCGAGTTCCTGAACCTGATCAAGACCATCGACCGCAAGACCGTCGACTCCTTCGTACCCACCCGCTGTCCAGATGCTGATGCCGCCGCCCGCATGACCAAGGTGATCGAGCAGTTCCGCGACAACCACGACAGCATCGGTGGCACCGTTACCTGCGTGATCCGTAACGTGCCCGTCGGCTTGGGCGAGCCCTGTTTCGACAAGCTCGAGGCCAAGATCGCCCACGCGATGCTCAGCATCCCCGCCACCAAGGGCTTCGAGATCGGCTCCGGGTTCGGCGGCTGTGAGGTTCCCGGCTCGATCCACAACGACCCCTTCATTGTCTCCGACGTGGCATCCCAGCTCGGTCCCAACACCTCCACCAAGCAGCGGCTCACCACCAAAACCAACAACTCCGGCGGTATCCAGGGTGGTATCTCCAACGGCGCCGACATCTACTTCCGGGTCGCGTTCAAGCCCCCGGCCACCATCGGCCAGGCCCAGAACACTGCCACCTACGCCTTGGAGGAGGGTATTCTCGAGGCCAAGGGCCGCCACGACCCTTGCGTCACCCCCCGCGCCGTCCCCATCGTCGAGGCCATGTCCGCCTTGGTCATTATGGACGCCCTCATGGCTCAGTATGCTCGCGAGAGCGCCAAGAGCCTCCTGCCTCCCCTGCCCAACACCATCCCCACCCGTCCTACCCTGAGCGGTTCCAACTAAAAAAAAAAAGCCCATTTCTCCTCATTGTATCATGAAAATGTAATCGAATCAATCATCATCCTTATGTTTTTTTCTCGTTTTTTTCTCCATATTTCCGGGAACAGGCTTGGGAAAAGTTGTTTCCTTCATTGATTTGGAATGTGGCTTCAACACTACATGCGTGTTGCCTATATATCTTTTTTGGCCTGTTTGTTTCGAGACACCATTCATGAAAATTAGAGTGCAGCGATATATATGATGGTATGACATTTTTGGATGAATCATTATATTATTCTTTTTCTTCTGGTATATCCAACCTCGGCCTCAGAAGAATACGGGCATGTATCTGGTTCTTTACCACACATCATTGTTGCTCAACGGCATCAGCTTCCACCGCGCCTTCCCTAATCGATCGAGTCCAGCCTGCGACGCCGGCTTGCCCCGATTGGATGTTCCGTTGACTCCGGTGATCCTGGGTACATGTGGATGTTTTTCATCTAGCTGAGGGATATTCGCATTTTCGTGAATTTTACTCATGGCTAATAAACTATAGTAAGATCGTTATATCATGGGAAAACCTCGGTTTCCACCACATGCTTCGTGAACACATACCTCCATGCATACATATATTAGTTTGATATCAACATGGCCAACATCGTATACCCAGCACAAAACAAAATCAAAGGTAACAATCATAACCAAGGGAAACGCGAAGTTGGGCTGGACTAGCGAAAGCCGCCAGTGCCAGGATATGACCACCCAAAACTAACAGGGGAAATATAGCACGAGGCCCAATCTACCCCCGTTCCCTGGGAGGGACTGCATATGGACGTACCCATAGTACGCTACGCCGTTTCAAATCTCGCGGACCATGCGAGGAAGAATCCCACCACTGACGGACCTCTCCGAAACCCCATCCAACTCCCCCGCCGTAGCATTCACGACTCGCAACTTCTCCTTCGGCACCGTGAAGGTCACTTGGACCCGTCGGCCCTCCGCCGCACCCTCGACATCCCAGTCGTCGTCCCCGTCCGCTTCGCCGTCGGCATCCGCATACCGGCGCAGGCCATCGGAATACAAGCCGGCACGCTCGTCACCGATCCCCATGTCGTCGCGCCACGAAGGGCCAGCGACCGAGCTTCGCATCCCGGCTCCCCAGTCCCGGGCCCCCTGTTTGCGACGGAAGAGCTCGGCGGAGGCGCTGACGGAGCGGCGCGGAATCCGCGTGTTCCCGTATCCGGCAGCCAGGGGGGTCACAGGGGACGGGCGGCTGCTGCTGCTGCTACCGTTGCCGACGACGGTGCTTCGTCGGTCGAGGTTGATGTCAATGCCGGAGGCGATTGAGGTGAACGCACCGGGAGGTTCGGCGAAGTCTGCCGTCGGTGGTCGACGTCGAGTGAGAGAGAGGACGCGGCGGACGTTGTTGCCGATCCAGTCGGAGGTTCGAGGCCTGCCTATAGTGGGCAAGGCGGTGGGTTTGCTATGGGGCATCGGGAAGAGATCGAGCGTTTGAGCAAGTGGGGAGGTAGGCTCTTCGAGGCTCTGGGAGTGTTGGTGATGTTGGAGGAGGTGTTCGCCTTCGGAGTGACGTTGAGACACCGAGGTCTGCGCAGTCGAGTAGGAATCCGAGGTATAGCATTGTTCCACGAAGGATAGCGCCATGCTGTTCGGCCGGCTGCGCGGGGTTTCTCGGCTGCTGCCATTACTGCTGGCGCCACCACTGCTATACGCAGAAGCTGCTTCGGTGGACTTCAGGGGGATTTGTCGTCCGCTTATCGACTGATTGGAAGAGGAGAGATGCGGGAGATTGAGCGCACGGGCTTGCATGATGGACTTCGCGGAAGTAGTCGATGAATCGGACAGGTTGGATGAAGTCCGGTCTCCTTTGTCTGGCGAGGCGGGGCCACCATCTTGATCGATGCCAATTCCGGCAATGAACTCGGGGGGGACGAGGGGGACGGCTGAGTAGCCAATGTTGACGCCTAAGGGCGGTAGAAAGCCTGATCCTCTTGGTTGGTCGTATGTCTCCTGCGTCATGATCATTCCGGCGTTCTTTGCCTCGTCTTCTTCGCGCTCGTCGATTGGATGGATCTCTCCGGTGGCATCGCTTCTGCGAAACTCGCTGTATTGAGTGGGAGGCCGGTACAATCTCGCTGTTGGGCCAGACAGGTTGGTCTTGGTGGGACTCAATGCTTCCCCAAGCAAGCCAGTGCTCTCCGCGATCGTCCCTCCTGCCTTATCATCCCAGACAGACGACTGCCCAGATCCGCGCTTACTTTTCCAATCGGCAATCTCTTCCATCTCCCCCGAAAAGGGCCTGCGTATGCTGCTCGCCATATTTGGGCCCTCGCCGCCCCAGAAATGAGCTCTTTGTGCGCCAAGAGCCAAGTTGCGTAGTTCTTGATCCCGTGAGCGACGCTCGTAACGCCTGCGGCTATAGAAGAAAAGGAACACTGCTAAACAAATCACCGCGGGGATCCCCAGACCCAGACCGACTCCAAGCCCAGTCTTTGTGCGCGAATTCGAGGTGCCAGAATCAGATACGTTGTCTTTTCGTGAGTAAGGGTTCTCATAGGTTGATACCCAATGCCCCGATGTGACATTGTACAGGTAGACCTGCGAGTTGTCTAGAGAGCTCCTGGAAGAGAGTTTGGAAGATAGATGCGGAATGGGTTGTCCTCCTGCGATCATCATCACTCCTCCAGGAAGCATTGTGGCACCATGTCCGTATATTCCCGCTGCTTCTCCGATTCCAGAACTTGTAATCGATGGTATCCTCCAGGTCCATTCTTCGTAGTCAGCTTCGAGCTCCAGGATAGCTAGCTGCGGTTGAGCTGCGACACTCGTGTTCCCTACCCAGCCTCCGTAGACGATGACTTTGCTACCGTCTGGAGACAGGACTGCTGTATGCCCTGATCTTGGCTCCACCACGTTGACTTCCCGTACGGCAAGTTCTGTTTTGAGCGTGGTCGGTGCAGTCATCACATTCACAAAACTCCAGCTATTCTGCGGGAGAGAAAAGACGGCCAGCTGCGACATGTTTATGAAGGCGTCCCGGGTCTGGCCTCCAATCAGGAGAAAATCTTGCTGCTTGCGCGGCTCTCCGGTGGAGGAATATGCATAGGACGCCTGCAGGGGTGTGATCGTAAACCCGGCCTCCGCGACTGGAGGGGCGCGGCTGCCAGTTGTAGAGGCGTCATAAGACACAGTATCCCCGGAAGTATGAGGATTTAGAACGATCATCGACTGGGAATAGTTTGCAGCGGCCATCCAGGTTTGGTTTGTAGCATTCGTGAACGGGCACATGCCGCCGAATGCATAGATGGAACTGTCAGACGTATTGGTGGGCGCATATGCAAAACCCGCCGAAAGGAAATTAGGCCTATCCACAGCGACACTGGACTGAGTTGCGGAGCTATCTATGGCCAGCTGTTCCCAGGTGCCATTGCCCGCGGAGTCGTTCGCTTTGGGTGTGAACTGCCATATCGCGCCTTGGTCCAGATTGTCCCGACAGCTACCTGCGAATACCTTGATCACGGCAGCGGCGTCAATGGTAGGTACATAAGCTGAACCGTTTTCATGGTGCTGGAAGGGTAACGAGCTTGTCAGTGTCGAATACTGCGGTTCCGCGGCGTCAACGACTCCCGACACGTTCAAGGCCAGGAGTTCCGTGGTGACAATCTGGCTAGATCCCCTCGAATGCAAAAGATATGCAAAAGAGCCATTATGGTCGAGACTGTAGAGCAGGTACGACGGTTCATATGGAATCAGCGCAGAGGTCGGCTCAGCGCAGAGTAGAACGAAGGCAAGTAGAAGCGTCGACACCACGTGGGCGCCGACAAATCTGCGCATTCCGTGTCCTTGTTGGAAACATCCATCCATGTGTATGAAGACGAGAGCTTGAGATGAGGTCGAGAGCAAGGCTGATCTGAGACAGATCGCAATGCATCTAGCGCAAGGGTTAGCCCGTTAGCACGATCTGGACAAGGCACGGCTGGAGACCAGATCAGCCGACATGGGCGAGGATCGTCAAACTAGGCCGATCTAATTGCTTTAGATCCGAGCGAGTACTTCAGGATATGGATGAAGCGAGGGTCGAAAGGTATGATGGTGCTACTGGCGGAGAGGGGAGGGAGGAGGGAGGAATGCAGAAGATGGATTTGGGGTTGGTGGCTAGACCAGAGAGAAGAAGAGGAGGAGGAGGAGAAGTGAGTAAGTGACACACTGACATGGATCTCATCAGCAGGCAACATCGCAATCGCGGCCGATCGGATCCGAGTTTAGATGAAATGAGGACTCTGTGGCAGGACGAATTGATTAACATAATCGTCATGGGTGGACTAAGTCTCCGTACGGAGTACGGAGACAGTGTGCTCCATAGTACTCCTCGACGGACAGGCCCATCCATCTGAGGACCCATCCAGTATGAAGCGAGAGCCAGGAAATACTGAGGGGCTGGGAAGAACGATTGCGCCGTCAACACGGGCGGTTGCACTGGCAACCTGGATGCTGCATGGGGGTTGATTTCCAGTACTGTCCGGGTTGGCGAGGGTCGAGTGAGGCAATCCAGACAGACTCGGGAGGAGGGAGGAGGGGCAAGAGTCTCCCCCTCTTTTTTATTATTATTATTATTATTATTATTGTTATTATTATTGTTATTATTTTCAATTGGGCAACTTCTTGAGTTCAATTGACTCCGAGTGACAGTTCAATCGATGCGAGGGGGAGGACGGATGGATGATGAATGATGGAACAAAAGCAAAGGTGGAGCCGCGAGTGAAACAGGGCAACAGACCATCTTCCGGGCCGAACTTTGGGTTGTCTTGTTTATACTCTAATTTACTCTTTCTTCTGATTCAAGGTTGAAGGTTCATCTCCTCAGGATTCATTGGAGCTCTGTCCGACTAAAGTGGGGATCCGACCAATAAAGTTACAGGTTGGCCTGCCAACTGCTTGCTAGGTACTGCTACTGCTGCTGCTGCTCCTCCTCCTTCTCCTCCTCCTCGGAATCCCGAGTCCAGACCTACCTTACTTATCAGACTGTAACTTAGCACACTTAGCGGATTTGCTAATAGACTACTCCGTAGTAGCACCACCGATAGGGCTGAGATATGCTAGTCACTCGTGAGACAAGCAAGGAGAGAAAACTGACCTCGTGCTCCTTATGCCCAGGCGGGGCTCACGGGCAACAAGAGACCCCATTCATTCTCTCTTGTTATCCCGCTGACCTGAATACACGACCCGCACATTCGTCATCACACCCATCATGTTCCGTCTTGCCACAGTGAGTGGGTGCATTCCTTTCTAACTTATACTCATGATCGAGAGGGAACCTAAGCAGAGAAACAAAAAAAAGAAGAAGCAGCGCGATTCGACCGCGCGTCAGACTCTTACGGCCCTTGCAGCGCACGGGCTCATATTCTGCTAGATGACCCCGGTGGGTTGGGGGGGAAACAAACCAGGTTATCATTGTCTGCCTATAACACAGCTCTACTCCGTAGTGCTGCTTGGCTTGGCTCGGTGACAAGTACTCAGCCACATCCCATCCATATCCCGAACAGCATCCTGGGGACTCTTGGGTGAAAGGGGGGGAGGGGGGGAAAGAGGAGGGGCGTGAAGGATTTGACATCCGTTGCTCAGTGGACATTCAGGAATTCAGAGGCCATGCTCCGACGCGGGATTTGGTCTGATCAGTCCACATTGGGCTTCCTTCTTGTCAGAGCTGAGGTGACGCCTAAATTTGCAGACGGGTAGAGAGCGAGATGGTGTTCCGTTGGTGCGGTAGCAAACATGTTGAGTATTTTGGAGGGGTTGAGCGGTGGCGAAGGATCGCGGACGGAGTAGAACGATGCGAATGATAGTACGTCTCATACCGCCTCGAAGCCACTGTTGGCGCAGATACGGGCACATGGCTTCTGCAGTGGAATCATAGAGCCTTTCCACAGTACCAGCTGGTGGTTCTTGAGTCGATCGCGAGTCATATCTTGAAAACACTTAGCATGCTGTGCCAAAATGCCTCGGAATTATCGGTTCGGGCTATGAATCGCCATATCTTCCGTGCCTTTGCGCTCCATGTCGCCATCCTCTGGACCCAGCAGAGGTAGCGTGTTATGATTCAGAGGGAATCGGGGCCTGCAGGATGCTAGACCTTGGACTCTACACTCTACCAGGATTGTTTCCTTGGCGGTTGACACCGAGTAATCTCTGGTGGAACAATGTGCAGCGATGCTAATAGGAAGAAAGGGGGGGGGAATGCCATGCTGGCGGTGATGGGTGGTTAAGATGTACAATGTAGGTAGACGGTACATGCTCACTCAGGGGCGTTGACAGATCGACCACCAGCGCCAATAGCTAGTAGTGGTGGCTGATATAGAGTTGCATTTGCTTGGGGATCCCAGGCCCGACATCCCTTCGCAGCTCCAACCGTGTGTAACGAGGAGGATCCGAAGACTAACTTACTCGTGTCTGAGCTCTGTCTGATTGGATGTGATCCAGAACCCTGGGCTGCAACAGGAGACCAGTCCAGCAGTATGCAGGGGGCATTGAGGTGGATGCCCGGCACGCATTGGGTTGTGCCAGAGTGATATGACATGATGTGACGGTTGACTGGGCACGGGGCTGTCTCCGGCTTTCAGCTCCGTCAGTGATGATCTGACCTGCATTGTTTCCACTCTTTGCGGACCGCACCGGGCAAGGGATGGCTGGGGGGAGAAAGTATGAGTATCTGCAGATATGATGGCCCGTGGTCCTCTTGGCTTCCGAGGATGGTGGCTGGTTTGCGTGTGACAGGTGCGTTCGAGGGGAGTTGGGGATATGCTGGATGTACGGAGCACACCGTAATGGGCTTGTAATGAGCTAGCAGTGAACATCAATACTTTTCAACTTGAACGATCCCAGGGGCAGGGAAGCATCTGCCATTCGGTATGTACTCGCACATACCTAGCAGTCTAGTCCGTACAGTACAGTCAGGACTCAGGAGGGGTATGACTGCTCTAAAAAGCTTGGTCCAAGGACTGGCAACCAATGAGGTTTGCTCGGATGCAGTAGTGGGTATGCAGGCTCCCCAAATAGGAACTATGAGGATGCCGCGCAGGAGTAGGGGAGGGATAACTCTGGTTGGTGGGATCTAACTTGTCGAGTCCTTGGATTGCTTGCAGTGTGGAAACAACCTTCTGTTGAAGGTAAGCCGGTGAATTCAGTGGTGGGAAAGCTCGGCGGTGCAAAAGGAATATGAAGATGAAGCGGGTGATACCATACATTGATCACAGTTACTCGAGTATCAGGCCATGTTTATCGGGGTTTCCATCCCCTGCGTACGAGTATAAGGGATCAGTAGGATGGTACATAGTAAGATGTATCAAATTGAAAACAAATAAGCAAAAAAGAAGTGGCGCTGCCCGGAATCGAACCGGGGCTGGCACGGCCACAACGTGACGTCATACCACTAGACCACAGCACCTGTTGTTATTGAAAGCACATCTTTGCTTGGCGTTATGTACCACCATTCATGGATTCCCGGCTACACGAAGATCTAGAGCATGTTTTCGTCACATTCGTCATCTCGATGTTCTTTTGCCTATATGTCTCGGAGAACCGCTGTATCTCAAGGCAATCTCTTCTTTGCCAACATTCTCCATGTTGTGGTGTTATAGTTGGGCACGCCTCCGGCAAATCGATGATGGCCGGGACGCAGTTCTTGGGTATATATCTCAATCGAGATACAAGACTACTCAGCCTACCATTCCATCAACAGCCTGCGCAACGTGGGATATGCGATCGATAGCACCACTAGCCATGACAATCACACAGAGTGTCGAGCAACAGCTGCCAAATTATATCTCACGATATAGAGAGATATAAGAAATGCATCAATCCCCATACCACCAAATAGAAACAGTGCATAATCTATACATGCACAGCACCCATAGGAGCAGAATCAGGCGCCAGTGGGCCATATAAAATGAACATCTTACCCAGTGCACCAGATGCACTCGAGCAAGCCTATAACCCTCAGCGGGTTGCCACCGCTAAACCGATCAAAGGAGCCGATCCCAAGAAGAAGACCATGGCCCACACGCCACAGCAAATGGATGACAGCTAAACTGGATCAGATGAACGCTCGACACCTACTGAGTGATAGGAGGTAGCACATGGGCCGACGCGCGCACACCAAAGGCAAGCAGAGGAGGAATCTTCATTGACCACACCTGTCCGTAACGGAGAATCGGGAGTCGATAAGCAGAGCCTGCAAACAGGGTGCGATACATAGTCAATCAGCATTCAGCCCCGACTGTAATCTAATCTTATCATTGAAAGAAGCCCCTGTTGTCTCAAGTAAACATACAATGGAGGTAGCATCGGCATGTAGGACCTGGATGACGTTGTAGTGCCGGTCGAGAATGAGGACAGTGCATGCATACAGCACGCCTGCGGTGTCTCCCGAGATCCAATAGGTGCACCAGATAGGTTGGCGACAGATGAATCCGAGACAGAACCAAGGTTCTGTCACTTGCCAGAGTCATGCCTCCCCGTCTGCTCAAAGAAGACCCCGGTCCACTTCCCTGTACATACTCGTAACACATATCTCCAGTGTTGGGAGGGGAGTCCCGCGGATCGGGGGAACGATTGTAGTAGGCCGTGATGGAGCATCGCGCAATTAATAGTCTCATCTATAAATTGGGGAAGATTAATTAGCTCAGGCTAGAGAATTGTACAAGGAACAAGGTGTTTGTTTCATCGCATACCATCGACTAACGCACGGAGGACGGGAGTCCATGCCGCTAAAGCAGCCACCCTCTATGGATCGAATCAGGCTGCTATGCATGAGTGAACCAAAGCCTCGAGGGCTCGGCTGGTCAATGCCTGTAGGTACCGCAGGTACAATGCTGTCACTTCCAGACCTCGGAGTATGGACCAGTATCCCGAGTTGGAAATACTAGACGTGACACCCTGTGTGGGCTGGCCGTGCTTCCAAACATGGTTAAATCCTTACTGGTTCGATCTGACAACTGGAAAGAATAATATAGTAGTATATGCTAGGTACTAGATACCTAGTACTGATCTAGCACCGTAGCTAGAAAGGATGATGATCAACTTTGAACAGGCGTGCATAGCCCCCGGAGAAACTTGACATCAGATTGGCTATCTTGAAGTTCGATGGACTCAGAAATGACCGGTTTTTCGGTAGCCCCAGGTTCAATGGAGGCATCAAGGTAGGTACAGTATTAACTCGACCATGCGGACGGAGCAGAATGGATAAACGAGGGAGAGGGAACTACACCTTATTTCGTTCTCCACCCACCGACCGTGGTGCCTGGACAGTACAATACCCATAGCCTGGAGTACTGAAAGTCCGTCCGTAAGGATCTACTACAGATTACTACTAGCCTAACTACCACTGGCAGGCACTGGATTTGCGGAGAACACAGACCTCCTCAACCAGGAGGAGGTTCTGGACCCTCATTGGCCATAAGTACAGCAGCGGCCGAATGCCATTTGGGCCAATGGTATTTGGGCTGGAGTCTGGTATAGCCGATCAATATTCTGGTTACCTTCAATGTGAGGCTTCTGTACAGGTAGAGTGCTGGATCGGATACACTCAGATTGAATTATGTGATCGTCAAGACGATGAGGCGGCGAAAATAGAGTCAAGTGGAAGGCGACAGTCATGACATGACCCATGGAACAAACGATAAAGTGTTGTAGGGTCTGCCAGACCTGGTGGCTGGTCGCACTGACAGGTGTCACTGGTATTACAGCAGAGGTTCCCAACCCGATAAGATGCGACAGGGTCAGCCATACATGATCGCATGCTGGAGAAGACTAGCACCAATCATCAATGCGACCATTTGCTTGTTTTCCTTTCACGTATCCTGAATGGTAGACCGTTCAAGCAATTTGAAAAGAGTCAAACAGACACGGCGAAGCCACTCCCGAGCCCCTACTTAGCTGTACTAACTAGACTCAGGAGAATTAATTGGGTGACGGTTGCAGCAGAAGAGAACCAGGGGAAGGAAGGAGCTGAGAAAGGAAGAAAAGCGCCATTGACTCGTTGATGCTGCTAGGACGGAGAAATAGTCCCCTACGTAATGGTCGAGCCCGCGGATGGGTTGCTTGGCAAAGCAAGAGGGGAGAAAAGACAACTTAGTAGCGACTGGCACCTGGCAGAGTTAGTAGACTGCCTAGTAACTTAGCTACCATAGTAGAAAGACGCCGCCGCCACTGCTGGGTTGACTGCGACTTGCAGCAGGAGCAACAGCAGGAGCAGCAGGAGCATCTCTCCTTTCTCCTTTTTAAAAAAGGTTTCTGTTCTTGCTTAGAGGGGGGATCTTTACTTCTCTACTTGTTCATACGGATACACTTTTCTTACTCTTTTTCAGATCTTGTTTTCTGATCGTCATCCTGTACGAATTACTTACCTACTCTATGTCTATGTATTTTACCTCAAGCAGTTGGAGGAACACATTATAATGCATTTCCTGGGCTGTGTTGACAAGTGATTGATTAGCATTTCAGGCTATTATGCATATATCTGGTAGCATCTGCCAACTTTACTCTTTTTATTTCTTCCCTTTTCTCTTTAACCCTTTTTTTATTTTTTTTTTCTTTTTCGATTTCGCCCCTCCACCCCCGGGTCGGGGCCCAGTCGCCGAGACCCAGGGATACCATGGGAGGATCTCAACCAATCCACGATGCCAAGCAGACCCGGATGGTCGGCCGAAATAGCTGGTGTGGTCTGGTCTCGTCTGGTCGATGGGGATGGAAGGACGGAATCGATGGATGCACTACTGAAGGTTGAATCCATTCTCAATCGAGTCTACTGCTCATAAAAAGAGGAGGCGATATTTCTTAGTATCCGCCATTATAGTAACTGTCATCATCTATGGAGACAGAGTCATTATCTGCGTCGTCATAGCTATCTCGTTTGTATCTGTTAGTATACAGTGTAGTAGTTAATACAGTAGTAGTATTTCTGATTGGCGAAAGAGTGCATGAGTGAATGTACAGTACACACCAGAACCCTCTCCCTCTTACTCTTCTCTATCTTTCCCTCTCTCTTTCGCTCTTCTCTAGCCCTCAACCGATCCTTGCCTTCCACCCAGTGGACATGCATCCCCACTGACCGGGTAAAATACGTTCATAGGCGTCCCGAATGGGGGGCCCAGATTCTCCCTTCCCAAAGTTCCAAGCAATCTCCATGCGGCATATCCTTTTGTTCTAAGGGTTCAAGAAGAGACTGTTTGGAAGGGATCTCGACTGGTGTATGCAAAGAATATGTTCTGTGGCTGCTGGTGGTGGTGCTGGCAAATAATGAGCTAGTTGATACAGTACAGTAGTGCAGCAGCAGCAGCAGCAGCAGCAGCAGCAGCAGCAGCAAGAGCAGCAAGAGCAGTAAGAGCAGTAGCCGTCATTGCGACTACGGCCTGACTAAGTTGCAGTGACCTAAGTTAACTAACCTACTTACTCCGTAGTTGAGTTAGTTAAGTTAACAGTAACTTACCCGTGCCGACCACGGACATGTCTGTCTCTCTGGCTGCTACATGGTACGTACTCCGGAGTACGTAGTATTATTGCTGGGCCTGCTCCCCTCCCTGGTCAATTTTTTTTATTCTTCTTATTCTCATTCTCTCACCCTCTCACCCTCTCCTCTCTCCTGACCTACTTGTGTTTTTACTACGGAGTATTATGGTAACCACACACACTTCAGTTCAGTCAGTCAGTCAGTCAGTCAGTCAGCCAAGTACAGCAGTTAGTCAATCCACCTAACTACACCATAATTACCAGCACTACAGCACCGCCAGCACCACCACTTAGCAATACCCACTCTTACACCAACTACGTACTATTCCCCTCCTCCTCCCTCCATCACTCCATCACTCCCTCCCTCCCTCTCCCCCTTCCCCCCCCCAAAATAACTAAACCATACCCGCCTGACAAAAGCCTGCCTGACCAGAGTGTGATCTTCCTTTGCCCCTCCATCTTCTCCCTCTGATAATTCGGCCGCCTGTGAACACTCCCCGTCACTTACTCATACTTCCTCACCTGGTACTGTACGAGGGTAGGTACTGTACGAGTACCAACTTACCAACCAACCTACCACTCAAACTTACCCGACCTTTCCTTTCCCATTCTCTCTTTTTACTACCCGCCGAACCGCCCGCAACCTCGAATTCCCTCTTATCCTTCCTCTTCCTCTTCTTTTGTAATCTCCGCCCTTCATCCACCTTCCCATTCTCTTTCTCTCTCTCTCTCTCCCCCCCCCCTCCCCCTCCCCCCCCCTACCTCCTCCACCACCACCTCCTCCTCTTCTTACTTCCTCTTTCCTCCTCCTCCTCCTCTCACCTCCTCATCTCTAATCCTTTCCATCTCCCTCCTTTTCTTTTTCTCTTAGTCTCTTTTCTACTTCCCTTTTATTTCTCTCATTCCTGCCCGCCCATTATCAACGGTCAATACTCACTACTACCCCTCCTTTGAAGCCACTTTTAATTTTAATTCCTCCCACTCAGTATAATACCCTCCTCCGTCCTGACCAGTCCATACTGGAAGTCTTCTATACCTTATTATATACCCAATTGTTATCGGTTCTCGGTTTCCGTCCCCGGGTGCTATACTTAGACACTCCTTACCTCGATAACTCCTATACGCGAAGGTTTCCCATCAATCCGGCCTGCAGACATATTGAACTTTGGCCGCATCTTCGCTCAGTGTTCTCCGGGCGCATTCATCGGCTGCATCCTGGTGCTGCAGCAGTTCCATCACACAACGATTCTTCGGTCCTGTCCTCGCCGTTGTCAGGTACACGGTTCTTCGGCGTCCTTCTCATCGGCTCGATTCATATGGCTGCTATCGCTCTCCGCCGCACCGCGCTTCACAAGTGATGCCGATCCACTCGGGCGTACCATTAGAGCTTCACGCCAGCTCTCGCTGAACAATAGTTTCCGTGCGAAGGTCAGACCAGGGCAGAAAAACCGCTCCCTCGTTCACGGCGGGAAGGAGATTTGATTGCACTGCCAACGCAAAGCAAAAAAGAATGCCCAACTGAACTCCGACAAGGACTACTACAATTGAAACATGAAAATGGACCGGCCCCCTTCGATCGCAGGTTCGGAGGAACTGGTGACTCTGGTCGCTCGAAATGGTCAGGTATCAGACAGCACCCTTCGACGAGTCTCCGACAAATCGAATGAGGCTTTGAGCTCCTCGCCAACATCAACGGAGGTTGACGTTCGACAAGCCATCACTAGGCCTCCGAGTGCCAAACTTCCCTTGTCTGGTGACATCCCAGAAGGACAACCCTCGCTGCGGCACCCATTCCCTCACCTCTATCACTCCTCCAGTACCTCGAGATCCCCGTCCACGCGGACGTCTTCCAGCTCGTTACAGGCACTCAATGAGGATGTAGTGGTCGATGCTCGGTCGGATCACGGCGGCATCGGGCGAACTCCCATCGCCCGAAAAATGGTGCACCTGAGTCAGTCGGATATGCCACCCGGCGATTATCCTGTCTATCCTGACCAGTCATACGCCGTGCTACAATCCCAGGTTCATCCCACGTATCAACCTCCCTTTCTACGCACCCGCAGCTCATATCCATCTCGGATCGAGGCGGCTTCTCGATTCCCTCCTGCACGTGCGGCGCGCACGGCGGGCAATACACCCATCTCTAGCCCCGGTCTTTTCTCGGTGCGCAGCCCTCGCTCAACTCCTCCGATCGCCTCGGATGACGAGGGTCGGATAAGTAGCCCATATCTTCATCCGACCCATCTCCAACCACCCAAAGAGTAAGTCCTGGCCCTCATTCCATCCAAGTCGTCATTCTCTGGGGCATTTTCTTGTCTTGGTGAAGAGCTCGCAATTGACCAGCCGGACAGGACCCATACAGCGGAGGTAGACCGCGATTTGATCACCGGCAACAAGCTGATTAATCAATACGAAATCCTCGAGGAGCTCGGACGTGGAGAACATGGAAAGGTCAAACTAGGTCGCCATGTCACGACTCGACAAAAAGTCGCCATTAAGATCGTCCAGCGATACTCTAAGCGTCGTCGCTTAGGAAAGCTGGGCAATCCGGAGGATAAGGTCAAGAAAGAAGTTGCCATTCTGAAGAAAGCTCGACATCCAAATGTTGTCAGTCTGCTGGAAGTGATCGACGACCCTAATCGCCAAAAAGTATACATAGTTCTTGAGTATGTGGAGAACGGTGAAATTATCTGGCGCAAGAGAGGTCTGCGGGAAATCGTGCATGTTGACAAGCGCCGATTAGAGCGGGAAAAGGCTGGCATTCCCGAGACCCCTTCGTTCATGGAGGAAAGCCAGCAATATGTGAAAACCGCCCGACATCTCCGTCGTCAACGCGAAAAGGCACGCGAACGACTCGAAGCGCAGGCCGCATTTGCACAGGAGGCTCCTATCCCAGCTTGGAGTCTAGAGCATGGCGCGGAGTCCGACGAGGAGCAAGACGAAGAGCCTGGCATGGCTCGCATTCCGAGTCGATCCCTGATGTACCATGATGAAACCCAGTCTTCTCCGTGCCATTCTTATGCATCGGGTCCCGAAGCAGCATTGGCTGCAGTGGAAGGCAGCATGTATGGTGCCTATGCGGATTACTCTTTCGATAGAAGATTCAGCACGGCATCTAGCAGCTTTGGCTACGCTCCCTCCGAGCCCGAGTGGCTCAGTGATGATGATGATATGTCTTATGTACCCTGTCTAACGTTTGCGGAGGCGCGTAACGCTTTCCGAGACTCGCTGTTGGGGTTGGAATACTTGCACTTCCAAGGTATCATCCACCGCGATATCAAACCAGCGAATCTGCTGGTTACCAGCAATTACCGAGTCAAAATCTCCGACTTCGGGGTATCTTACCTTGGCCGGCCCATCAGAGACGAGGATGAGGAACATATCGAGGAGACAGACGCGACTGAATTAGACGATGCAAGGGAGCTGTCCAAAACCGTGGGGACACCCGCATTTTATGCACCGGAATTGTGCTACACAGGTGAGGATTTTGTAGACAGTCTCGGTAGCGCTCCCCGAATTACTGGTGCTATTGATGTCTGGTCCCTTGGTGTCACCCTCTACGGCATGATCTTCGGACGTCTACCATTTGTCTCAGATGACGAGTATAGTATGTTTCAGACTATTGTGAAGAAAGAGGTGTTTATACCCCGAAAGCGCTTGAAGCCAGTCGAGGATAATCCTGATGCCGCCAGCCAGTGGCCGCGCTTCGACGAATACAGCAAGCGAATGGAGGATGAATTGGTGTACGAAGACATTGACGATGAGCTCTATGATCTCCTGAAGCGGCTGTTGACCAAGGACCCAGTCAAGCGGATCACGGTGAAGGAGATCAAGCACCATCCTTGGATTCTCTACGGCCTTCCCAACCCCCGAGCTTGGGTCGAAGAGACCGACCCGGGATATCAGAGCAAGGGCAAGAAAATCGAAGTGTCTAACGAGGAAGTCACCACGGCTGTCAGCAAAGTACCTCTTTTCCAGAGGGTACGATCCAATGTCGCGAAATGGTCGAATTTCCTGACTGGACGATCGAAAGAGAAGGATAGCCGCAAGCGCACTCCCAGCAACAACTCCGCTGACTCCGGCTCTGCCAAGTCTCTCTGGGAGGGGCGCCGTCACAGTCTTAGGGGCGATGAAGATTTCTCGCGTTCAATCCGCCATCTTCGAGATGGCGAACACCCCCTTTCACGGAGTGTCACCGCAAGTCCTATTGGCCGGGACGAGCAGACCTCTTACTTCATTCAATCCGGATCCAACCCCTCACATGAACGGATTGTGCGCCCCGACCCCCCGGAGCGCGCGACCTCGACCTTGTCCACAGCCGAGTCTGCAAAGACTGTGAAGCCACACGACTCCAGGAATTCACCAGTACCACAACGGACGGGCACGCCTGTACGCGTAGAACATTCGGGTACTACGAACTTAAGTGGACTTTTTGGCGGCGCAAGCCGTCGGCTAGCACGTGGACTTCAGCCTCAGGATTGGCGCTCTGATCGGTCCGTTTCCGGCGAGACAGCGTCTTTGGAAAGTGACCGCCACTCGGAGCCCAGTTTGGCTATTAGTGTTACTTCTGCGCTTGGCCACATGCAACATCCTGCCCTGCGTTCTAATGAGGATCTACTTTCGATCCCTCATGAGCATGCACTGTCCTCATCCCCAGGTCACCGTCGCAATCGCTCCCATCAGCTTCCAGGTAAACACGCCGAACCCTTCCATCTCACTCGAGAAGCCTTGCTACGGAAGAGGCGGAGCGGGATGGAGTCGACATTTGACATGGACCATGTGCCGACCCGTGGCTCCCATGGACCAGACCACGATACGCTCATTCCACCGTATGATGTTTACGCGCAGGCTACCGGTCCCTCTGTTGAACACTTCATCTCCGGCGAGTCCTGCTTAACAACCTCACCGCCCTCGGCTGCTACTATCTCTTCGTCCTCGGTGGACGAATATACTAGCGGAATGTCTCAGCGAACCTCTCATGCGAGCATCCCGTCCGTGGTGTCAGGGGCATCTTCTATCTCGGGGGAGGGCGGTACCCGAGACAGGGATTGTGATTCTACAGCTAAAGTACCCTCAATTCTCCGTACCGACGACACTGTGAAAGCCCCGCCTCTCAGCCTCTCACGCTCAACCGAGGATGATGAATCTCGGTATTATTGCGATGATGAGGAAGAGTCTGAAGGGGACTCAGAAGATGAAGGCCTCGTGATCGGCAAGAAGAGGACCACCCCCCAGAAGCCTATCATTCGGTCGGGACTCCCAAAGTCCTAGTCCACGGTGCGTTTCTCGATGGCGCCTTTCCCAGGTACCTGGCACGGACATCTCGTTCCTTGTCTGTTTACTATCTTTGATGTCGTCGTCTCATACATCGATAATGAGTCTCGGGGGGCTCCTTCCTTCACCGAACATCTCGCCGCTTCTAGTCGACAGGGGCTTACATATTCTTGCATGTATATCAATTAAGTTCTGTTTTCTTCTTTCTTTTCTTTGCCTTTTCTAGGCATATTGCATCATTTCCGTGGCTCACGGGAAGCTCCTCTTCTGGGACTGCGTGTCTGTTGGCTTACGATTACATTGCTTGTACATATATTTGCATGGGTGGCATGATCAAACTTGGTCTGGGTTTCATATTCAGCTTCGTGCTAGGCGACATGCGGAGGGATTGCTCCGCTCGTCTCGGTTTCATTTGCCTCTATAGGTATATCTCCGGTTTGCGTGCTGCATTGGGTCTGGGGTCTGGGAATTCCTGTATCTAATGCTTGATTTCTGGGACCTGGGATCAGGATATAAACATTGCACCTGATTGTTTTTTTTTTTTGATGTTTTCTTTCTATCATGATTTTCTGTCCTTGTACCTCCGAGTTGGATTTTCAAGTGACTTATGACGCGCAAGACGCGATGTGTTGAGATGACAGATGTACATGATGATGTTGATGACCAGGTGGGAGTTGATCTACCTAATATACCATATTGCACGAGAGTCCTCTTTCTTTTTCCTCCTCTCCCCTCAAACTCTCTCACTTGCTCTTCTCCTCTCTCTCTCTCTCTCTCTCTCTCGAACACACACACACACACACACACACATACATACACATCGGTTGAAATCCAACCCCATTTATAGACACTCCCTGCCCCTGGCGTGTCGTGTCGCAAGTGAAACGGATGCTGAAACGAGCCAAGAGCGGTAGATCGGTTATTCTGCCGTGCCTTGGACGAAGGAAGTAGTCCAGGCCGAGGCCGAATTGCTGAACTACTCCATTGCTCGGCCGCTCATGCCTCTTATTCCTCTCAATTGGCAGCTGACAGCTGCCAGTCGCTGTCACGCAACCCTCCTTCTTAAGCGAGGATGGGTTCCTTTTCTTTCTCTTACGTCTTCTATTAATTGTTCTGCTACCACCAAAGCCAGAAATGAGGCCACCGGCGTGCCACCGGCCATTCCCCACCGGCCACTCAATCTATTCCTCCACCAATGACTCTGCCGCTCCGACTTTCCTCGAATACCTTTTGAGTCTGGCAGCGCTGGCTACTGTACCCCAGCGTCATGCTTCGGTTAGGATAAATTAAATCGTGGAGAAACCTAACGAGCTTGGGGCACGCTAAGGTGTGCAGACCTGGTTCTTCACGGTTTATGCTCCGTCCACAGGCTAACTGTCGGCAATGGGCAGGGCACGCATGACTGCTGCCATCTTTTCATCCATTCCACTCCTTTCGACGCCCATAAAAAGGCGCATGGGGGCCCTTCTTCCTCATGTTCTTGTCTGAAAGTACTCTGCCTGACTAAAACCCCCCTCTCAGCTCAATCGTCATGTTCGCTTCTCTGCTGCTGGCTGCGCTGCCCCTTCTTACCCACGCCGCGCTCACCTATCGCGGCGCAGACATCTCTTCTCTCTTGCTGCTTGAAGATGAGGGCTATAGCTATAAGAATCTCAATGGCCAAACCCAAGCCCTAGAGACAATTCTCGCCGATGCTGGCATCAATTCCATTCGTCAGCGTGTGTGGGTGAACCCCAGCGACGGCAGCTACGATCTGGACTACAATTTGGAGCTGGCCAAGCGGGTCAAGGCGGCTGGCATGAGTCTTTACCTGGACCTGCACCTGAGTGACACATGGGCGGATCCTAGCGACCAGGTGAGTCGGTTGCATTGTAGCAATCATCCAGTCGATGTGATGGCTAGGCTGACCGCGTTTGGGACAATAGACGACACCTTCCGGCTGGTCCACGACCGATCTCGGCACTTTGAAATGGCAGCTGTACAACTACACGCTAGAAGTATGCAACACTTTTGCGGAGAACGATATTGATATCGAAATCATCTCGATCGGCAATGAGATTCGTGCCGGTCTCCTCTGGCCTCTGGGCGAAACGAGCAGCTATTCGAACATCGGCGCACTGCTGCACTCGGGTGCTTGGGGAGTGAAGGATTCCAACCTGGCGACCACCCCCAAGATCATGATCCATTTGGACGACGGCTGGAGCTGGGATCAGCAGAACTACTTTTACGAGACCGTTCTGGCCACGGGCGAGCTGCTGTCCACGGACTTCGACTACTTTGGTGTCTCCTACTACCCGTTCTACAGCGCGTCGGCAACTTTGGCATCCCTGAAGACTAGTCTGGCGAACCTGCAGTCGACCTACGACAAGCCGGTGGTGGTTGTGGAGACGAACTGGCCGGTCTCGTGCCCGAACCCGGCGTACGCATTCCCCTCGGATCTGAGCTCGATCCCCTTCTCGGTCGCGGGCCAGCAGGAGTTCCTCGAGAAGTTGGCAGCCGTGGTGGAGGCCACTACTGATGGTCTGGGAGTGTACTATTGGGAGCCAGCCTGGATCGGCAATGCTGGGTTGGGTTCGAGCTGCGCTGATAACCTGATGGTGGATTACACCACGGACGAAGTGTACGAGAGCATCGAGACTCTCGGAGAGCTCTGAAAAGGGGCGAAAGATAAGATTTTGACTTTTGTAGGATACTAGTATGATTCCAGATGTTGATGCGTCTGGAAATTGTGGGGATGAGTGCTCCGTCAGCTAAGCTCAGCTAACTAACTAGAAGGTAGTTAGTTTACTCCAAGTCTCCAAGCGACCATTTGCTACACACCGCCTAGTACATTAGGGCCGGGGTAAAACCAGGCCAGGGTCATCTTGGGTTTGGTATAGAAGATTTGCCAAGGAATTGAACTTCTGTCCTTGAGTAAAGAGAACTGCACCTTGATGATTTGCTTTTTGATCTACCATGAGTTCTTTATTTTTATCACATACTCACTCACTCACTCTGTCTCCGTTCGCGTGGAGAAAAGGGGGGCTGTGCAAACGTGATCCAAACGCTTGCCGACCGCCCACTTGACGTGCGGCAATTTCCGGGTTCTGGTTCCGCGCGGGCAGCATCGAACCTTCAGAAAGAGAGGGAGGGCCTTTGTCTAAATCCAAATGCGAACCCTATCTTCTTATGGCCAGGAGCTTGAAGCTCCTCCGGAAAGGCTTAGATAGTTGACTGACCAGGTTCTCCTACTGCAGAAACAGTGAGCATTTAAGACTGGTTGGTGGTTCCTGGCGCGACGCCGGACTACTGAGCTATTCACGCATAGCTAACTCGCTGTAGACCTGGAAGGAGGCGGAGTTGCTTGAACCGTCCGTCTCTGGTAAGTGATGGGCAGGGAGAACGAGACAAGATTATCACTGATTGGGTGGGGACTTTTTTTTTGTTGTCGCACAATTAGGAGGAATACGAAGGGCCCTGATTCAATTTGAGGGGGGGGGGCAGTTCCTTTCTGATTTCTTTAGAGTTAAGGTAGGTTAGATGGAGAATCGTTCTCTTTTGATGCCTGAGAACCTGAGAAGAATGATACTGCGTACCGTGAGGTAGGCTGCTGTGTTGTTGTGAGGGGATTGCCTCGCTCGAGGGGAATTCAGCCACTCAACTAGCTGCAGCTCCATCACAAGGAATCGGATTTGACGTTGAAGACGATGCTGAAATATTCTGTTTGTCTGTTGTGCTATGTAGCTGGATTCAGGCCCCCAAACTCTGGGCATGGCGGTTGCAGCGTTACTTTCTTTCGATAAGTTAGCGGCTCGCCCATGGGGATAGTCCAAGTATGTACAGTACTTGTAATTCATGATCACATCGATTTGACAGGATAATATAATAGCTAATCCGAAGTGCTTCCATGACAGGTCTTTTTCTTGGCTAGTCGTATCGCGAGGTATAATAGGATCTGGAAGAAATAACTTGGTTCATTTAGGGTAATTACTGCTGCTGCTCGTGGAAATCTGCCTTGCCGCCGTCACGCAGTTGGGTAAAGGAGGTAAAGAAGAATGATTGTGTATTGTACAGTACTGTACTGTACTTACATTTTTTAGCACGTGCCTGTCGCCCAGTCAGGCAGCCAGGCTGTTTGTACTGTACTGACTGTACTGACTGTACTCTGTACACACGCGCGCACTGCTTCCTTTCTACTTCCCCCTCCTATTATTCGAATCCTTCTTCTTCCCTCTTGTTCTCCTCCTATTCTTGCTCTGGGCTGCATCTCCTGGTTCTTCTATAAACACAATACCTTTACAGATTGCTGCTGTTCCACAGCAACTACAGGATTGGATTGTTTCTTGCACGTCCCCTGCTGCCCGAGAATGTGAAACTCTCCCGACCGACCGACCGATTGACCGACCGACCGCTGATGCTTGCTGATGCTTGCGCCACGAGGCTGAATCTTCTCTCTGTCTCCCTCCTCTTTCGTGCTCCCCCTCCTCCCTTATTATTATTATTGCTGCGGCCATTTCCCCTCCCCCTCTGATCCACGGTGCCTTGAGTGCTTCACGCGAATGACAGCTCGAATCGCACCCCCTTGACTTACTTGCTGTGCCTGGCCGTGGGTTGAATCTCTCTCTCAGCTTGTCTTGTCGCCCGCCCTTCCTGCCCCGTCTTCCACCTTCCCCTCCTCCGCCCGCCGCCGCATCTGACTCGTCTGCTTCCCTCCTCCATTGTAACTACCTTACTCCCTACACGCTTTCTTCTCCTCTCACCTCCCCGGGCCTTTTCATAACCTTCCAGTTGTTCCTTTCGTTCCTTTCCCCCTGCTGATGACATCCAGTCGGCTTTGATCTATTTTCTCCTTCTCGCCACAGCCTACATCGCGTGGGATCTATTTTTGGGATCTCCCCCGTCGTCATATTATGGCTTCTCAAGAGACGCTCCGCGATTCGGGACAGTCTTCGGCCAATGGACACAATCGCAGTTCTAGTCCAGCTCACAATCCACAGCCTTATAATGACCCCTCATCGGGCTTGACCTTGGATGTTTCGGTCGCGACGACCACTCAATTCCCTGCCTTCACCAACGTCTCGCAACCTGATTCTTACGGCTACAACCCCGCCGCCTATCTCTCCGCGCAAACGCTGGCTCCGGCCTCGCAGAACTATTCTCAAACCCTGCAGTTGCCTCAGTCCTTCAATCCCAACTTAGTGCATCAACTAGATCAGTCGACGGGATTTTCCATGCACCAGCAACAGCACCAACAGCTGCCCTCAGAAGAGAACTTCTCAACCTTACTGAATTCCAACCCAGCCGACTTTGACTTTGCCCTCTATCAAAACCCCAGCCCCAACAGCACGGCCGCCCCCGAATACGATTCACCGCTGATGCTTGATCCTCACGGGCAGTCTCAACCCGCCAACCACGGAGTCAATCCTGCCGACCTGATCAGCCAGATCCCCTCTACCCATCGCTCGGCGTCACCGCAGTTGTCTCCGGTCTCGCCGCAAGACTATCACCAGCACTCATCCCCCGGCCCGATGTCACCTCCGACTTCCACCCCTGGAACCTACTATACCCCGCAGCATTCCCGGCATACTTCCTTGGACCCCGCTACCGCAGCCTACATGTCCGGCAACTCGCATCACGACTGGCAGGCAGTTATGGGTAACTCCGCATTCCAGGGCCATCGCCGGGCTCCTTCGGAGGTGTCAGAGGTTTCTTCCGCCGCCCCCTCGCCATATATGTCGCAGCATGAATCTTTCGATGGTTTCGATAACAACCCTTCTCCCCTCCTTGCGCCGCAAAACGACCCCGGTCTATACGAGAACGCGTTGGGGATAGAATCCTTCACACTCTCGGAGCATCAACAAGCGCATTCGCAACCAGCATTGAGTCCGGCACACAGCCCCTATATTTCACCGCAGTTGATGCCACAGCAGGGAACGGACATGATTCCTAACGTTCCATACATATCTGCGCCCGCTCTGAATTCGCAGTACCCGACTCCCCCGACTGACATATACACGGAGAGTCTGTCAGCCCAGGGGAGCACTAGCCCTGGAGACATGGGGCAGGCGTCCCAAATGGCGCCTCCTTCCATCAATGTTGAATTCGCACCCCCGTCCCAGAATTCGAATCCGCCTCAGTCGAAGCCAGCTGCAGATTTGGACTCTTTGAGCCCACCAGTCGCCATCCGTAAGCGTTTCCGCCCGGCCCATTTTGCTTATCGCTAACGTGACTTGCTGTTAGGATCTCGTATGCGCAGTAAATCAGATCCCTATGCCCACCCAGCCTCGCGCGCACGCTCCTCTTCGACCTCGGCCAGCCTGGAGCCGTTTCATGTGTCATCACCGCGGTCGCTGTCACCCTTCGATCCGGTTGGGCGCCAACCTCAAAGCAACCCCAGTTCTCGAGAGCCGTCACCGTCGCGGTCTCGTCGCTTATCGACGTCATCCATTGATAGTCGGAATTACATTCTAGGACTCGCTGATCCTCAGCGTCCCGGTGCGAATCTCAATGACTCGAAGCGAGTCCAGAAACATCCCGCAACATTTCAATGTCATCTATGTCCCAAACGCTTCACCAGAGCGTACAACCTTCGGTCCCACCTGCGAACCCACACGGATGAGAGACCATTTGTCTGCACAGTATGTGGGAAGGCCTTTGCGCGACAGCATGATCGTAAACGACATGAAGGTCTCCATTCCGGGGAAAAGAAGTTTGTCTGTCGGGGTGAGCTGTCTCGGGGTGGTCAATGGGGCTGCGGCCGTCGCTTCGCACGTGCCGATGCTCTCGGTCGTCATTTTCGATCGGAGGCTGGTCGAATTTGCATTAAGCCCCTGTTGGATGAGGAATCTCAAGACCGAGAGCGCTCGGCTATGGATCAGCAGCAGCAGCATCTTCAGCCGATGCCTCCTCCGTTGATGGTTCCAGGCATGGATGGTCAACCCACCGGGGCTTTCGTTCTTCCCGCCGCTTTGCTGGCCCAATACCCAGCCTTGCAGACGTTACAATGGGATCAGATCCCTGCCACAGCGGATGAACCCAGCGACATTGGGGGTCGCAGTAGTTTCGATGCAAGCTCCGGCGGCGAATTTGGGTTCGAAGATGACGAGTCGGGACTGAGTACAGTGTCTGGCATCCGCGGAGGCTATGCGGGTGGCGCGGGCATCTATGACATGAATAGCCAGGGACATATGCTTGGGATCAACCCGGGTGAGACCACTTACCAAGAGACCGACTGGAGGACATGAGTCCTTTCTCTGCAAACCTGATATTTGCAGGGCTTGACATTCTTGAATCCATCTTCCGCCTTGGCCCTACTCCTTTGTTTTGGTGCTTGGTCCCGATTCATCCAGTCCCATAGCTAGGGACCAATTTCGTCATGGTTGCGATTTGCGATAGAAGGATTTTGGCGTTGAGACTTGGCTAGGCGATTCTCCTCAGGCAGATGGATCCCTGCTGACGGCTGATGAGACCTTTTCAATATTTTTTTTCCCCCATCTTCCTTCCCCTTTGAATTTTTCTCTTCTTTACTACTATATGTGACCACGAAGAACTTTGTTGGCTTTTCATACCCATAGGAACTGCACCAGTTGGATTTGTGCGCGAGATATATAAGATAGTCCTTAATTGGAAGGGCATGCTTGATTCATTGATTCCTTATTTCATATGTTTGGGACTGTTTTTCTTCGGGATATCCCTTTTATTTTCGCTTGCATGCTCGAATTTTGGATTCATACTACCTCTAGACACAAACCAATCTGTGACTGATCAATGAACCATTGTGTAGTTTAGTGACAGTACGGTGAAAGGTGATCATTGAGTACTGTACATACAATACATTATATGTACTGTATGTACAGTAACTAACATACTAATTGATAACGAGGGCGGTCGGTAATTATCACATGACGCAATTGTCTCTCCCTTCCCTCATTCTGCTGTGTCTCTCCGCATTTCTCACCTTTCTCACCTTCTCCCCCCAAAATACGTATTGACTTTCTAGTTTTCTCGCTTTCTCCGAATTTCCCTTTAAAGCCACAGGGAGAAAGCCCGGAATTCACATTCTACACTCTACTCGCTTCGTTTGTCAATCAAATGCGTCGCGCGGCTCTACACGCTCTCCGTACCGCCCGTCGCGTGCCAGCAGGATGGAAGGCTACTGGTAGGAAACCGTGCGCGGTGTCCTTCTCCAGCAGTCCTAATTTCAGTACCCGTCCATCCTCCTCTTCTGCGGGCAGATATCCCCCATTTCTTCCTGCCACATTACAATCTTCGATGCATCTCCGGAATTTTTCAGTTGCAGTGATTTCCACGGTCGTTGCCTCAGGGGCCTGGTATGCGTATCAAGGAAATGCCGGTGCCCAGCCGACAACGGCCCTGAACGCAACAACATCCGCCTCGCAGATCCGCTCGATTTCCTCCACAGCCGGCGCTCACGCTGAAGATCCCGTGGAAACCACCCGCCGTGCCCTTCTGGTGGACAACGACCAGTTTTATACCGCTACCCTATCTGGAGAACAGCCCCTCTCGAAGCACACGGACGATTCCGACCGTCGGGTCCTCGAGATGTTGACTCCTGAACAGGCGACCCAGAAACTGCGGAAGAACGAGGAGTCATACCTGGTGAATCGCGGTCAGGGTGTGGTACGGTACGACATAGTCCAGGTCCCCAGTAACTCTCCTATCGAGGATGATCATGCCGAGAAGGTTGTCGAGGTGCCATCCTCGGTGGCGGCAGCTCAAGAAGGCCAAGCCAACAGTGATTGGATGTTCTGGGGCGTATTCGATGGTCACTCGTGAGCCACTCTCCCTTCTCCCAAACTAGCAAACGCTCACGGTTCCCTGCAGTGGCTGGACCACTTCCGCTAAGCTGCGCAATGTCCTCATTTCATATGTTGCTCGGGAGTTGAACTCCACCTACAAGGCCGCAGCTGCAGACCCATCAATCCTTACTCCGTCATCTGAAGCGGTGGATGCTGCCATAAAACAGGGGTTTGTTCGCCTGGATAATGATATCGTGTACGAAAGCGTCGACAAGGTGTTGAAGTCGAATTCCCGCCGTATGGCGGCTGAGATGCTGGCTCCCGCTCTTTCCGGCTCCTGTGCTCTGCTGGCTTTCTATGACTCCCAATCAAAGGATCTGAAGGTCGCCGTGGCCGGTGATTCGCGGGCTGTTCTGGGTCGTCGGGGCCCGAATGGAAAGTGGTCTGCGACAGCGCTCTCGGAAGATCAGACTGGCGGCACTCCATCTGAGATGCAACGTCTCCGCCAGGAACACCCGGGAGAACCCAATGTTGTCCGCAACGGCCGGATCCTCGGTCAATTAGAGCCTAGCAGATCGTTTGGCGACGCCTTCTACAAGTGGAGCAAGGAGACACAGGACAAGATCAAACGGCAATTCTTCGGCCGCACACCTCATCCGCTGCTAAAGACTCCTCCGTATGTTACCGCTGAGCCCATCATCACAACGACCAAGGTTGAACCTAGTCGCGGTGACTTTCTCGTGCTCGCCACGGACGGTCTCTGGGAGATGCTGAGCAATGAGGAAGTTGTTGGGTTGGTAGGGGAGTGGGTTGACAAGCAGCAGCAACAGTCCGGTGGCAGCAAGGCTTGGTTGCGCAGTTGGTTGGGATTTGAAAACAAACAGCTCCCTGTCGAGGCGACCGCTGAGGCCGGCACAGAAGGTCAGCGCCGTCCTATCCGTCAGCAGCAGTATGATATCTCTGGTGCGGCCAGCCGATTCACCGTGGAAGATAACAACGCCGCAACCCACCTTGTGCGCAATGCAATGGGCGGAAAGGACAAGGATATGGTTTGTGCTCTACTGACGCTTCCGAGCCCCTATTCTCGGCGATACCGGTAGGTACCCCCTGTGGCGTCTTCGACGTGTATGTTGCTAATTTGTTTATTTCCAGTGACGACGTCACCGTCGAAGTCATCTTCTTCGGCGAGGGCCCTGACACCCGGACTATCACTGTGAACCAGGAGGCTAGTGCATCTGAGGAGGTCCTCAAAGCGAAATTGTGATTCAAGCAGTCACCACCACAACTCGAGAGATTTGACGTGAGCTTCCTTGCCAACAGTACAGATAGTCGGTCGGAATCATCGTGCGGAAGGATGGGTTAGATCCTGGCTTCTTCTCCATCACTCTTCTTCATTCTTGTTAAATCCCGTTCTGTTCAAACTGGATACTGCAAGGATACTCTCTAGGTGAACTAAGTGATTCTGCTATGCAGAATCTATTTGGTATTACTTCCCGCGGGTCTGGGATGATAAAGTTTGTTTCAATATGCATTTTCACACATAAAGGCTAGCATTCTATAGGTCACGATATGCTATGAAATTCTTAAAATGTTGCATTCATGATCCTGGTACGACCCACACTATGGAGCATCTTCCGCGTAGTATTATGCATGGTGCAGAGGATTATTCAATCAAGAAACATGGTCGTCCCGGCGGCTCTTAGCAGTTCTGGTCTGCATTCGAGTCCTTGCAAGATAAGGGTATTGCAGCCCTTCATGCTTCACTTGCAGCGCCTAGACTCCGAACAACGTGATTGAGCGAAGTCAGACGGGATCAATACACATCAGGAAGGGCGTTCGACCTCTCAGGGCCAGGAATCCGGCTTCTATTGTATGTTCGCCTGGCTCACATGAGCAAGTAGCTTTCGTAACACTCATGTCGTCGGAGATTAGTGACAGTTGCCCTTCAGCACCGTCGAGCTATTCCCACCGGCTGAAATGAGTATTTCATCCCTATGCAAGGGGTTATAACGGCGGGCGACTCTTGCCGATAAGATGGGTAAAAAAAAAACCAGGTGAAGGAACTCTCAGATTTTGAGGGCATACAGCCCCGCGCCTTCTTCACCCCACAACACCAGCCTGCTTCTGGGCTCCCTCCACCTGCCTCACCGGGGTCCTGTACAGCATAAGCATCCCCTTGCTCCCCATCGACGGCTCCTTCTTCGCTGCATCATCCAGCCCCATCATGCGATCCAGCGCCCGATTCTGCAGCGTCGCGATGTTGCTGCTCGTGGCCCAATACAGCAGCAGCGCCGCGGGCGTCTCGTAGAGATACGTCGACAGCCCGACGTTCAGCGCCATGATCTGGACGAAGGTGCGGAGCGCGCGGAGGGACAGGTGTTTGGGCAGCTGCGCGCGCGGCAGGTCCGCCAGCTCCGCCAGCCGGGGCACCTTCCACCCGATGTGGATGTTGAGGAGGATGGACGCGGTGAGCACGGCGGGCAGCACCCCCGTGGTGTCCCCGGCCAGGAGGTCGGGGAACCAGAGCGCGCCCTCGGCCGCGAGCGTGGGCTCGACGGGGACGCGATTCGCCGTGTCCGACCCGACCAGCCGCAGCAGCCAGGCCAGGAGCCCGCTCTCGCACCCCGCCATCGCCCGGATCGTCTCCATCACCGACAGCCACGCCGGTATCGGCAGCAGGAACATCCCCTTCCAGTACCGGCTGATCCCCAGCCGGCGGAACATCGCCTTGCGTTGGCGCGCGACCGCGACCGCCGTCTCCGTCCGCACCGAGGGTTGGCGGCGCCCGCTTGATTCTTGCATACTTTGAAGTTGTTGCTGTTGCTGCTGCTGCTGCTGCTCCCGCTTCGCGCTGATGCTCGAGCGGTAGTAGTTCTGCCAGCAGGCGAGGAGGGGTTGCGCGGCTCGCTCGCGGCGCCCTTGGAGCTTCGTGTAGATTTGGATTGGGAGGGCGATGAAGGTTCGCACGATGAGCGCCGTCAGCGGGATGGTGTAGGCCCACGGTAGGCCGGAGAGGTTGTGGACGCCGTGAATCAGCCAGGAGGAGTCCATGATTTCGGCCAGGAAGGGAGCTGGTCGTGTGGGGTGGAAGTGGCGTGTTTGGTGTCGGGGTGGTGGTGCTCTTGTTGTTGCTGTTGTTGTTACGCGGCGGAGGAGGGTTGGGCGGGCGAGGCGCACGGGGTGGTGGTACATGGTTGCGGTTGGGTGGGAGGTCAATCGGGGTTGGATTTGTTGATTGATGTGTGTGTGTGTGTGTGTGTGTGTGTATTATGGGGAGAGAGAGAGGAATAATATATACAAGGAGAAGAGGAGCATACAATAGATGCTGGGAGCAAAGATATTTAGAGAAGTTGTAAATAGGATGATGGATGGATCCACTATGAGTAGAAAATGGCCGCGGAGATTAGTTACTGTATGTACAGTACCAAAGTTACAGTATGGGACTAGTCACGTGCTGATAATACCACGACCAACTGGTCAGAAGCTATCTTATCGATCCTGTGACACGTCAGCCGGCGGGAACTGCCTGCTTGAGATCCACCACTTAAGTTAGTTACGCAACTTATTTACGTATTTCTCCACGCTGTCAACTTGCTTCCTTCTTTCCTTCAATCCCTTTCGACCTCTACCATGTTCGTCCCTCACTGAACCATGATGCTGCTCATACTAAAGTCCTTCCTCACCTTTCTCGCCCTCCTCGCCACCTGCGTTCTCTTGCCTCAGCTACCCCTGGCCCTTCTCCGCCTGGTGCTCCGCGCTGTGGGATGGGCCGTGCAGAAACGAACCAGGTCTCGTCGCGAGTACATCGTATCGCGCGTCCGCGCCGAGGAAGAGGAGCTCGCCAGAAAGAGATCTACTAAACCAGCATCGACAGAAGATGAGGATTGGGAAAAGGTCGATACCTCCTCTAGTGCCAGTTCCGGAACAGCTGGCACCAGGACCAGCGATGACTGGAATGGAATCATCGGGTTCTTCCACCCGTTCTGGTATGTCCCCTCCCTCTACACATGCTTATCAAAAATTGAACATCGTGTAGCAACGCCGGAGGTGGAGGTGAACGTGTCCTCTGGGAAGCCGTGAGAGCGACCCAGAAGCGCTGGCCCAAGGCCATTTGCGCCATCTACACGGGCGATCACGAAGTCAACAAGACAGCCATGCTGGAACGGGTTGCAGTAAGTCTCGTCCCTGCTCAAGAAATGCATGGAATCTGACATACCAGAACCGGTTTAACATACACCTACATGCCCCCACCGTCGTGCTGCTTTACCTGACCACCCGCAAATACGTGGTTAGCAGCATGTACCCCTACATGACTCTACTGGGCCAGTCCCTCGGCTCTCTAGTTGTTGCCTACGATGCTTTCAATCTACTCGTTCCGGACGTCTTCGTCGATACCATGGGATACGCCTTCACCTTGGCCTTTAGCAAGCTACTCTTCCCTTCCGTCCCGACTGGCGCCTATGTACATTACCCCACCATCTCCACCGACATGCTTAGCTCTCTGGATGACCAGACTGGCACCAAGGGTATCAACGCCGGTGCTGGAAAGGGTTTCAAGGGCCAGGTTAAGCGCAGGTACTGGATCCTTTTTGCTAAACTCTACGGCTGGGTTGGCGGCCATGTTGACGTCGTTATGTGCAATTCCTCCTGGACGTCTGCCCATGTCCGCAGCCTCTGGGGTCCTTCCCGGAAGACCAACACTTTCGAGGAACCAACAGTCATTTTCCCGCCCACCGCGGTGTCTGAACTCGAATCCACTATCCACGTCGACGCCGCAACGGAGGCATCCCGGGAACCCGTTATTCTTTACATCGCCCAGTTCCGACCAGAAAAGAACCATCCTCTGCTTCTGCGCTCCTTCGCCCGCTTCCTCCAAAATTACCGCAACAAGGCTTCTTCTTCGGAGTCTGGAAAAGAACCCAAGCTTATTCTCATCGGCTCCGTCCGCCACGCCTCGCCTGATGAGACGCATATCTACAACCTCCGCTTGCTCGCCCACGAACTGCGCATTCGCGACAACACGACATTCCTCTGCGACGCCAGCTGGCCCACCATCCTTGAGCATCTCGCAGCCGCCTCCGTTGGCGTCAATACCATGTGGAACGAACACTTCGGCATTTGCGTTGTGGAGTATCAGGCCGCGGGGTTGATTAGTGTTGTCCATGACTCCGGCGGCCCTCGTGAGGATATCGTCGTTGACCTTGGCGACGGCGCAACGGGTTTCAGGGCGAATACGGAGGACGAGTTTGCCGCTGCATTTGAGGCCGCCTTGGCTCTCCCGGAAGAAGAGAAGGTTGCGATGCGGCTGAGAGCGCGCAAGTCCGCGCTTAGGTTCACCGAGGAGGAGTTCTCTCTAAAGTGGATTAAAGAGGTTGAGAAGTTGGTGCAGTTGAAGGGAAACCAAGGGTGACAGATAGCAGATAGTTCGTTGTCAGGCTACTTTTCTTCCTGTGTGAAGCTGGCGATGCGTGCTTCTATACTGGGATAGGGTAAAGTGGCGGCTAAATAATGTTTGCATCTTCATACCACAAGCTGTTCGCTTAGGCCATATGAGATCTGCTTTGTAACCATACCTCAATGGCGCTTATATCTCCTGAGTGCAAATAGTGAAATGATATAAATATATCTTTCGTCCGTCCAATCTAGCATGAGCACATCGAATACATATCCGTCACAAGGAAGCAAGTTAACCTTGTGGAACCAAACTATAACTAGTTGGCTGGCAACAAAAGATCCCGCCGCCAAGCCCCTCTCGGCTGTGTCGTCATGCCCCGCGGAATTAATTATTCATGCATGCAGAGAGACATTCTTTTATCTTTTCTGCTTCCTTTTGGTACACCACAAGCCCCCAGCCCCCACTTTCTCCTCTACCAATTGGCTCTATTCTCCCTACCCATCTTGTCCCACGAGAATCAATCCCGCACTCCTTCGAATGTCCTCTCGTGCTATCCGCAAGCTGCAGAAGCAGCGCGAACAACAAATACAAGCCGAGCAGGAGAATGACGGATCCAGTGACGATGAGCTGGTCTCGCGACCCGCAAAGCCGAAACTCAACGCCTTCGACCTTCTGAATTCCTTTGGCGACGGTGATGATGAGGAAGATGATGATGATGATGACGACGCCCACGCCGACGAACAGTCCGAGAAAGAAGTTGAGGTGTCGGAGCCGGTGACTCAGCCCGCGCAAGAAGCGAAGGAGGATGAGGAAGAAGATGAAGAGCAAGAGGAAAGGGAAGCTGCCAGAACCGTGAAGCCCGCAGGGTCAGGGAAGAAGAATAAGAAGAAGAACAAGAACAAGAAAAAGAAGGCGACCGCCGCCGCCAACGCCTTCACCACCACCACCACCACCACCGCCACGACCGCCAAAGCAAGGAAATCAGCCGGCGCAGTCACGACAGGCGAAGATGAGATCGACCGCGCGCTCAAGGCACTAGCTGTCGACCCCAAACACCCCACAGCGGGCGGGGATGGCTGGGGCCGTGATACTTCGTTTGCGAAAACACCGGAGGATCTACTGGGCATCGATCCACGGAATCTCAATGCGACGAACGAGATGCGCAAGTTGTTTGGGAATGTGGTGCTGGAGAACTTTGATCAGGATACTACTGGGCCGGGTGGGCGTCGGAGGGATCGCGGACCAGAGACGCTGGACCTGGGACAGGCCCTGACGGGCAGGTATAGCCCCGCGAGCAGGGGCCAGAGTCTGGCTGGCGTGACGCTGCGGCGCAATGTCCTCATGCAAGGCAAGGATGAATGGCCCCGGGCGCCCAGCGGAGGGCTGGGTATGGAGCTGGTCGAGAAACGCGCGGACGGCAATACACTCTACAAGATCCTCCACAATGCTGCGTACACCGATGTGCAGAGGCAGTTTGAGATCTGCGTGGAGTCGATGGATCCCCAGCGCATGATCCACCTCTTACAGTACAACCCCTACCACATCTCCACCCTGCTCCAGGTGTCGGAGATCGCTAAGCACCAAGGTGATCACGCCGTCTCCGCGGATCTGCTTGAGCGGGCGCTTTTCAATATCGGGCGCTCGGCTCATTCCTCTTTCGGGAACCTGCTGAAGCAAGGACGGGCAAAGCTGGATTTCGTGCAGGAGGCCAACCGTGAACTCTGGCTTGTTGGCTGGCGGTATATTGCGAATCTGGGTATGAAGGGCACGTGGCGGACGGCGTATGAGTGGGCCAAGTTGCTTCTGAGCCTCAATGACAGTGATCCGTACTGCATGCGCCTGCTGATCGATCACTTGGCCCTTCGTGGCCGAGAGTACTCCCACTTTGTGGAGCTATGCACACAGACTCGGCTGAGCAAGGAGTGGGGGACTCTTCCCAACATTCAATGCTCGCTCGCCCTGGCATACCTGCGACTAAACAAACCGAAGGAGTGCCGCGACCAGCTCCGCCGAGCCATGTCCCGCTACCCATGGGTATTCTGCAAGCTCGCGCAGGAATTGGACATTCAGCCCATGCCCAAGCGCATCTGGGGCAAGATGCCGCCTACCACTGCCCACGAAATGCTCACCGAACTTTACATCTCTCGGGCCAAGGATCTCTGGAACACTCCGGAAGCGGTCTCCTTGATCGTGGAAGTGGCCGACACTCTGTCGGATGAAGAGGAGCCGGTCGAACCGCCGGCAATCACGCTGGACATTGCACGCCACGTCGTGCTTTCGGATATCCCTAAGGTCACGACTTTTCTTCCGGGACGGTTCATCTCTGGCAGGATTTCGGCGTCTGACCCTCTTCCGCCGCATGAGTCGGAGGCGCATCGCCAACAGTCCGATCCCACTCCGTCTTACCTGGCACAATCCCCGGCTGCGAACCGACCTCAGTGGCTTCGGGATCTTTTAGACCAGCTCAACAACGGCGGGATTCAATTCCCCGGGTTCAACCGTGATGGCGACGCTGGCGACGAGGTCATTGGGGACGAGGACGCATCGGGCGGCGGCGGCGAGACGACCAATGCACGTGGGCCCCCAGGCGCGGACCAGCAACCACAGCTGGAGCAGTGGCTGTTGGGCGACGGCATGCATGCGCTTCAGGCTTTCCTGCAGCAGTACGGTGTGGACCGAGGAAACTGGGGGGACGTCGTCGACTATTCCCCTCTGACCGAGTATGTGGATGGGTTGGACTCTATTCAGCCCGAGTCGGCACGCGAAACCTTATTGGCAGGCCCTATTCGCGAGGCGATGGGTGAGCTGACGGCTGTCATGCTGGAGGATGAATTGCAGCTGTTTCGGTACGGTGAAGAGGAGGATGTTTGATACCCTGATGGCTACTTGAGTTTTATGTGTAGGCTATCATGACTAGTATTTATGAATTAGAGGGTAAGGCCAGAAGGTTGTGGTGTCAGCGACTATTGATCGAGCGTGAATTAAGTAGGGGTGATGTAGACCGGCATTAAGCGAGGATGAATGTAGATCTACATCACCGAAAATATATTGATTGTGAACGAACCCGTTATCAGGCAAGTAGTAGATCAAATGCCTAGTACTAGTACTCTTTCTTACCATAAGCACATAAGCAAGATGCAGAATAAGACAAGCCACTGCAGACGCCTAACGACATTATCGTGTATGAACCGGATGCACTTGCAGTATAGATAGTATAGATAAGAGAAGAGAAAGATGATGACATGCGCTCCCGATGCGGTGGGCGAGCTTAGTCAGGCAACAACCAACCGGCCATCCGTCATCGATCCCGTGAGTCAATCAATCAATCAATGAAAGGAAGGAAAGAAGGAAAAGACTCGAACCGTACTAATTTAGCTGCGTCCTTCGCTACGTTCTTCTTCATGTTCTTTTTTCTTTCTTTTTTCCCTTTCCCTTTCCCATTCCCTTTCCCACCGTTGTCTGACTATCTATCCACCTCTCAAACTCTTCAATCCCTTCTGTGGAAATTCATTCTGACTGTGTGGTTTCATTCTTTGCCCTCGCACTTCATGCGCTCTGACCACCGAGGAACCCTACCGTAGCCGCTGTCACCGCATTTCTCTCCGACGAGCCGATCCCTTATCTTTCTCTCACAGTTCACGAATTGACTGCACTGCGATTGACCCCGAGTCGGCCCCCTTTCCCCTCTCCCTCCCAAAACCTCAAGCCCTCGACATGGCGACACCGTTGTCAGGCGACAGCCTCGTCCCCATGGCCGAATCCGTATCTTTGACGTCGCGCGAAGCAGCGTCTGGACTGCTTGGCTCCATTTCGCTCACCTGCTGGATTTTCCTTCTTGTATGAATGACCCTATACCCAACAGGACTGGGTGCGCCTGTGTGAAGCAAGCTATGCTGATTGGGGAATGTGCATAGGTTCCTCAGCTCATCGAGAACTACCGCAATGGCAACGCCGAAGCCATCTCCCTCCTCTTCCTCTTTGTCTGGTTCGTCGGCGACATCACCAACCTCATCGGCGGCGCCTGGGCCGGCCTAGTCCCCGTCATTGTCGCCATTGCCGTCTACTTCTGTATCGCAGACGGCGTCCTCATCAGCCAATGTCTGTACTATAAGGCCCGCAACTCGCGCCAAGCCGCGGCGCGCCATCGTCGGAGACGCTCCTCCGTGGAAACCCCGGACACGGTCACGCCCTTGCTGGGCCGACGGTTCAGCGACGCGGTCGAGCACCATCGTCCGGTTGCGCGCCGGGCGGAGGGTTATGTCCAGGGCAGTACCTCGGGGCCCGAAGACACTCTCGCGAAGATCGTTGAGGAGAATGACGTCGGTCGCAAGGCGTGGGTCAAGAACTTCAGCAGTGTGCTGGCTATCTGCGTCATCGGCATGGCGGGCTGGACCATGGCCTGGCAGACGGGCGTCTGGAAGCCAGCCCCCAAGGAGGTGGATGGCGGAGTGGACATGGCACCGGGCGCGATGGTGCTGGGATATATTAGCGCGCTTTGCTATCTGGGGTGAGTTCATATGCATTCAGTGAACCCATGGTGTTGGCAGTTTGGGGGTTGTAGTTGTTGGGAGGGGAAATTTGGTTGCTAACAAACAACAGTGCGCGTCTGCCGCAGATCTATAAGAACTACTGCGAAAAGTCATGCGAGGGTATGTGTCACCATGTGTCACCCCGCCGGAAGCCGGGCCCGGATTTGCTGACACTTGTTACATACAGGACTTTCACTTCTGTTCTTCATCCTTTCCCTCATGGGAAATCTGACTTATGGCGCTGGGGTAAGGCCAAGTCTGGACTTGATTCTGAGAGTCAATGGGCTGACTGTTTGCATCTACAGATTCTCTGCCACTCCACGGAGCGGAACTATATCATTACAAACGTGCCGTGGCTGATTGGCTCCTTGGGCACAATGATCGAGGATGTGACGATATTCATCCAATTTCGACTCTATGCTGTTCAGAACCCCGAGGATACGGTATAGGTGTTATACATCTGGTTTTGTCTGATTAAAATATGCGGCTGGTTTAGCGTGTGTTATCTTTGTGCTGGCAGGTTGGGGTTGTGCTTTATTATGTATTGGGCGGTTGCTGCTTTTGAAAAGTTTTTTGCTTGCCTTTCCGTGCGACTGCTTCATCTTGTATATTTATTTTTCAAGACATCTTGTAACTCATGACCATTACAAGCAGAGTAGCATGTGGTGGCTATCACATGCGTGTTCTAATTCGGCATGAAGGCCTAGACCGGCGGTCTACAGAATCTTAAATGCTGTTTGATTACAATCTACCAAACAATCCGGGGACGAGGTTTTGCTCATGGTCGCATGACAGACATTGCAGGAGAGCTGGGGCACCTAAGCTCGAAACGTAGCTAAGCAACAAGCATAACACGACATAGAAATCAAAACGAGTACGGAACAGCCCTCCGTACAAACTTTTGACTATAAAGATCCCACGGGGCCCGGAATCCTAGCGTCATCCGGGTCCAGTACCTCTGTCACGTCGAAAAGCCCATCATGCAAGCCGGAGCGCCCAGTCCCACCGGATAGCCATTGTCCGTTTGATTCGTTGTTCTTTTAATTTTCCCATTTTGATCTTCGTGTGGTCGAGAATTGTTAGGTACAGGAGATGCGAGGGGGCGAGAAGAGGGAGATGGAAGATGATAGGAAACGAGGAAGCAAACAGGAAGTGATGAGGGGGAATCCAGATCCAATGAAAAGCGGATTTAGGACATTTAGTCGAAAAGACCGAAGCCCATGTCCTCGTCGGACTCCTCCTTCTCTGTAGGGAATGTATTAGCCAGCTGGTCCTGTCATAACGATTGCAAGCGAATCGGGTGGTGGAAAAAGAAGCACATACCCTCCTCCTTCTTCTCCTCAGCAGCCTCGGCGGGAGCAGCAGCGCCACCGGCAGCAGCGGCGGGGGCGGCAGCGGCGGGACCACCGGAGCCAACGTTGGTCAGGAGATCCTTGATGTCCTTGCCCTCGAGAGCCTGTAGGTAAAGAAAAACCAGCGGTGAGCGTCTGAATTTGATAGTAGAGATAAAATCGATCGAAGTCGTTGCGGAATGCTGGTGGAGAAAATTGCGCAGGTCGCGGAAGTGAAGCACGGATTCAATTAGATTGTATTTACCTTGGCGAAGATGGAAGTCCAGATGGGCTCGATCTCAGGAACCTTGGCGGCAGAGATGAGGGTCTGGAGCTTGTCGGCCTGTGTTCAATGGAAAAAAAGACTCCTAGTCAGCTTTGATTGTTCCCATGTTCCTTGCTGAAAAAACCATGTGCGAGATATCCGGATTTCCCTTCCCCTTGCCCTGGTCGAGTTGGAACCGTGTCGCAGCTTTCTTTTTTGAAGATTGGTGAAAATTTCCATCGCTGTACTGATAGTCTTTCTCCGATTTGCGTTCTCCTTTTCTTTTCGCGACCTTGTACTTCGTTCTTGTCGCCTTTCCAATATTCCCAGCACCATTTCCATGCGACTCAAGGGGGGAGGGTCCTCCAGATATCAAATACCAGACACAATGATAACCGAGTCAACGTTCAATCAAGGACAATGGGGAATACGTACGGTGACCTCGACGCCGTCATCGGCGAGGATGAGGGCCGCGTAGGAGCAAGCGAGCTCAGCAGTAGACATGATGGTCGACGGGAGGTTGGACTGGACTGGAGTCTCGAGAGGGATGGGGATTAGGGAAGAGGAAAAAGGACGAAAGGGACTTTTTTGTAACTGGCCTGGTCGAGAAGGGGAGTCGGACGAGGGAGTGACTAACGCTTCACCCACTACGGAAGTTGTGTGTTTCCGCCGCGTCAAAGCCCTCGCTTAGGGCTGCTCCGTCTTGGGTTTAGCGCCAGTACAATCCGTGACTTCCACCCTAGTCCCGATACGGTCATGCCGCTCGGCGATGCCATCATCATCTACTGCTCTGCTCCGTAATCTACTTGCTCCGTACTTACTCATTTATCATCATCTGATGCTGCCGGGTCATTATTCCAGACCAACCTTGAACTTGCCTTGATCGCGTCCCTTTTTCACTCTCTCACGGCGCATTTGGTTTGGTTTCATACATACTTCTAAACCCTCTAATCTACACCTCATCTCCTTCCCTCCCTCTCCCCTCCCTCTTCCCCCCCCCTCACCTTTGTATCATGGACTCCCCCGCCGTCCCCGCCCCGCTGAATCCCAAGGAGCAACCCATCCTCGAGCGCCTCCTGCGCACCCGCGATGCGCTCCTCCTCCTTAAACAAGACAAGTCGACCTACATCAAATCCCGCGACGTGCTGCCGATGTACGAAGAGGTTATTGCCGAGGTGGAGAAGCTCAATGCCGTTCGGAAGGAAGAAGACCGCCGGCTGACACATAACCGACGTTAGCACTGAGTGGGCCTGTGCATGAAGATTCGATTGTGCGATGGTGTCGCTGACTTTCTCCTTTTTTTGGGGGGTTGGATTTAGTGGATTATGTCCTCGACGATTGTTTCCAGTTGATCTCCTTGCTATTCTTGACGGTGGGGAGAAACAATGAAGCTCCGGCGCTGTAGGTCCCTCATTGATTGATCGCCCAACTGCACTGTCCGCCGTCATCTGACTCTTATCGCGTGCAGATACTCTCTTGCGACCACGGTTCAGGTATGTGGTTGTGCTGGTTTGTTTCCCGGTCCCCGGTTCTAACACCCCCGACTCTAGCGACTCCTCGACCACCTCGAAGAAGCGGGCTTCTACAGCGCTAAAGACCTGAGCTCGATCACCAAGACTCTCGCCAACACGAACGAGACCCTCGAGCGCTGTCGCGATGCGTACTCGCCTGCCCTGATCACGCTGTTGGAAAGTCGCCTGGAGAAGTGCCAATTGCAGCTCGAGAAGCTACAGAGCGGGCTCGCCAAACTGAGCCCGGGGTTGGCGTCCATCCATGAGACGCTGGTCTCGGTTCTGCGGTCGACCTCCGCCGTCAACACTCGTTCAAAGGTAGGACTTCTCGGTGGTTTCGCACGAGCCCGCTAACCTAGCCACCAGTTCTCGGCCTCAGAGGTCAACAACCTGCGCGAGCAGCTGAAGAAAGTCCAAGC